ACTATGAGTTACTGCTGCTTTAATCTTTATTCGGGATAAATGCAAATAATTGCGTTTCGTAAATCCTTATTCGAAGAAGAATCACGCCTCAATAATACACGAGTATGCAAACAAATTATGACGCTTAAAATTACAAGCTACGTTAAATTTAATACTATAACATTATCACATTTGTAAAATGATAAAGTGAAACCAAGAGAATATTAATTATTATCATATTGACTTCATATAATTTTACATGCTTATTCCATTAATTATTTAATATAAAATGTATTTAATTTCTTAATTTTTATTCTTTATTGTGTTGTGACATCGTCGTATACCCACGAAAATTTTTTCAATGCAAATTTAAGATTATTATGCTGGAAAAGAGTGATTTCATTTTTTTTAAATTAAATTATTCGTGTTTGAAATTTGTATTATTAAAAAAACACCTAATGCAATAAACATGTTAAAAGTACTACTACTCTTAGTTTCATGTTTTCAAAAAAATAATTTAAAGTTTAATACGACTTAATTTTTTAGTTTTGTACTAAAAATGTAAGTTGAAAGTATTTTCAAAGAGCACATTATTATTTCTAGACATTTTTTTGTTAAAAGAAATGTATCTAATAAAATGTGTTAATATTTTATGTATTAGTAGCTGTGGCCTGAATTTATCTTGCGCTGAGTTTTTTTAACGATTATGAGGAATATTTTTTTTTTTTTTTTTTAACATTTTATTGGTAAAACAAACAGTCTGTAATTATTATATTACAATAAGTCCGTAAGCGAAAATAATACAATGACTTGGATACACATGAATAAAAGCAGCCGCCCAATGGCGGCACTCTTTAACTTGAGTGGTTTAGGTATTTAATTGGATTGACTTGGGATTTTAATTTACATTTAAATCTCTACACCATTTCCTCTTTAGCCTACGAGGTGGGTTGCCTGGGATGGTATCGGAATTGAGGGCGGATATTAAAGTATGAGGAATATACATTTTTATATTACATTCTCAGTTTTGCGTTGAATTTAAAAATATTAATAGTATTTAAATTAAATAATTATCATACTTAAGAAAAAAACTTATCAAAGCAATGTTTTTCTGAATATCAAAAAAATAGTAATGAATATTCATCCAAATTATAATTTTTGAAACATATTCACACTTTTGTGTACTAATTAATGCGTGGAACACATTTTCATATTAATAGTTATCGCATATTTATCACAGGACCACTTGATGTGCAAAGTGCTTTGGTCCTCTGATTTGCATTTCATAATTAATTTATAATCAAGCTTCCAGTACACGGGGACTCAATATTACTACCTGTATAAATCAACCCAGTTATTAAATTATACTAAGTGTGGAGGTAAGTAAAAAATAAATTACAATCAACAGATGCAGCAATATTGTTTTCAAAAAAATACATCACAGGTAACAATAAACTATTTATAGTAAAAAAAAATCATCATTTTTTTTTTTAGGTAAACCGAATTTTCCTTGTTGACCATTAAAGCGTGGGTCGTACTTAGAAATTCGACATGTTTTTAACCGCCGACCTTCAGCAACAAAGTTTTTACTATGGCTGAAAGCTGTCGCTGTCATAGTGATGTGTCCGTTGTGCCGAAATGTTCATTATCCCTATTACGCGCTCGACGACCTCCCCCTTACTTTTTCGTTATATAGACTTCCTTTTCCCCCTCCATGACCTATTCGTTATAGCTATAAATCGATTCGAGTCAATCGTGATTGACCTATAAGCCTTGAATAAAGTTGCGTCGACAACGCCGCCGTCGCCAATGTTGGGTTAGAACTTAGAACACTTTAACGGTCCTAGTTAACGCACATTCGTTTGGAATAAAACATGTTTAAACTAAACATGTCTTGTTAAACCATTGTTTATTTTTCTAATAACAAGAAAAAAAATGAAACAATAATAAATCATTTAATATAAATCACGGTCATAAATTTGAATTAATAATAATAATGACGAAATGAGTCAGAAATTATAATTTAGTACACGAAGTCGCAATTTGAGCCCTGGTTGCCCTGCGTGAATGTTACTAATTGGGGGGCGTCAGGTATCTGAAGCAAAACAGCCACGATTAGCTTAAGTATCCATCGTGAATGTCACTGCTACAAATCTTAGAAAATTTCAAAAGACGAAAGAACTTTAGTCATAAAAACCATTCTTGAGCCTTCAGAGTCTGAAGAAATGCGATAAGGGGCCTTATTCACAACACCTTTTTTTAACAATACGACCCACGACAGAAAAGGTCTCTTTTTGCGTGTACTAAAGCAATAAATTGTTTCATCATATACAAATACTTTAGTACATTAATCGGTGGATAATTGTTCAAAGTTAGCGTTTTGTCTAAGTAAATTTTTCAGTTTATGCAAATAAGTTAAATATTTATTTAAAGTTGAAATCTTCTAAAAAAAACTAAAACTATAATTTTAAAAACATTATATTGTACTCTTTATAAATTAGTAAATATGTGTATACTATTTTATAAATAGGTAATACATACCAAAATCGTAAATTTAAATTTGAGATTTCCTTTAAAATTGATAATTTAAGAGTTGGATTTTAATTACAAAATAATAAAACACAAACTTTTTTTTTTTAATACCTCTTGGTTATAATTTTTATAATCACATATAAACATACACAATTGAAACATTACAAGACTAGTATTCGGACTAGATGTGTTTTATTATTTGGCAGTGTATAAAGATTTTTATAACTCTCCTTCTTTGTGTCGTGTACGTGCCTCTCAACACCCACGTGGTGTCGAACATAAAACCATAATCGCCGGTTCAAAAAAAAAAGAAACTGAACCCCGAGTAATCAATATATTGTTATGTCAAGATACGTCATAATAACACGTCATGTAGGATAATGCATACCATATTATAACAGTATTATCTATTGAGATAATAAAACGATCGTACAGTACATTTTATGAATTTTTAAATAGTTATTATATTGAGGTAATAATACAACTACATAGTATTACCTCTAGAATATATCATAACTATATTACATGACAACATAATTTTGGGTCATTCTTTCGATGACGATATTAGGGAATCCGGAATATTAACTTGAACTAATACTTTCTAGAAGTTATATTATGTATTCTATAACAACTAAAATAACTATTCATTAGGTGGGTCACCATTAAACTTACCAACTGAGCGAGGTAAGTCCAGGCCGCTCACCGCGATAATCATTCAAGCTAGAATAGTTTTCTGATATTATTATTGACAACCTGTTTTTAATTATTGACGTTTTTGCTATAAACATTAGCAAAAGTTAAGTCGAGTGGACTACCAAGGTACACAATTATTTCCATTTACATTCTGCATCACTGAACCGTATAATTCTTCCCGACTGTTAATGACGTGTACCTACTTATTTAAATGGGATTAATCTTGAATTAAAATTATTCAAAACTGATTAACTTTCAGACAAAATGTTTAGGGTTTACATCGTTTTAATAAGCGAAAGCACAAGTTAATATACATTTTAGAAAATTTGCCCTAATTTTATAAACCCAATTCTGGAGATGATATCATGTTTATTATATAGTATAATGCGAAAGTTGTGACATGCGAAACGATATCGTTTGGTTTTATTAAAAACACAATTATTTCCACTAAAAGTGTAACACATTTATTATTAGTTCCAGGCACCAAATGTTATTAGTTGCATGTTAACAACAGCTGCAACGAGTTAAGCGTTTTAACTATAATTATACTTATAGACAATAGTAGTACGCGTATAATTTATTCTTGTGAACTTCAAATAGGTACTTTACTTATCGTTTCAGATAATATTATCATATTTGTCGGAATAAATACTGTAGAAATGTTTTTACTAAAAAATAATATTATTTTATTGAAACGAAAAACAAAACTGAGACAACATTTGTATTTACAGCGCGTAGAATTTGTTTTATGGCTAACAATATTGTAGTGAAGGGTACCTACGCGTTGCGGGTTCAATTCGGACCGTACGGTTAAAAATTGGCTATGCAAATTATGATGAAGGTGTGCAGATGTACAAATGTGCGTGTGTGTATATGGACATGGCGCCCACAACTGTCACGGTTTACCGCTGTGGGAAAAAGGAAGAGCAGTCGGGATTAGCGTTGAAAAGTTACCGCATTCGTCGGATATCGAGTATGGCCATCATGGTTTTTGCGGCTGTCGAGAAAAGTGCCAATATTGTATACGAATAGATTCTCCTTCTGTGTACACTCTATATAGCACTGTCTGGGTCGAACGGAACAGATAAAAGGGATGAGCAATACGAATGAAAAGCAGCCGAGACTTACATTTTATAATGTTTCTCGTACACGAACGTTGTGAAAGTTTCAAAAGCAACGCGCGTCGATTCACATATTAAATTGCTGTACAAAACGTGTAACGCCTAGAATCGCGTTTTCCGGTTAATGCAATACACAACACTAACCACATCATAATTATTATGATTATACTAAAGGTAATATTATTTGCATCCGGAATCGTTCATTATGCGTACAGCGGGATAGTGATTTAACGGGTGGGCGTTTGCCGTGAGCGAATATCTGACATTGTTTAGGGGTTGCTCAGTTGCTGCGCGTGTGGCCGTTGATTTTAAATGATGGTTATCTTCCAACGCGACTCTCTCCCGTTTAACTGGATTACCGAACACCGGACATTAATGGTGTTTCGCGTGGCATCCACGTTTATTATTTTCAATTATTCGTGATAAATCCGCCAAACAACCGTGTAAGCCGCTTCGCCCAGTGGTTCTTCTCCTCCTTGTCGTGTCTGATGCATACTAATAAGTTAAATCATATTTTAGAATATCTAAAATATCGTTATTGTGACATTATGCGCTCTCTCTACACAAATATACATATCGAGTTTGTTCACGTGTGCGTGTGTTGGTGTTGATGTAGTGTGTACACTACAATCTACATACATTTTTAATGAAAAATTATCGATTTCCATTTTGCAGACCATCAAATCGGCGGCCTTGACTGCGGCATCGACATGTCATCGTCGCAGTGGACAAAAACACGTGGCGGCCGTCTACGAAAAAGCTTATCCGCGTGGGTCATTTCCAAATGACTGCATCGGCGACGACCTTGAAGATTACTTAAGCCACAGGTTAGAGTATTTTATTGCATTCTTCACTACGGTAGTGTTTGATTTTCGCCACATAATATCCACCGAAATCAAGATAAAAAAAAATCTATTACGAATAGTCGTCGAGCCACCTCGAAATGTGTACACAATTTTCCGCACGTTCCATATTTAATTTAGATTATTTGCTCTATGAGCACAACTAATATTATTGTCATGACGCGAAATCTGCGCTAATTTTTTTCACGTTTTAGACCAGAAAGCCAGACAAAATGTATCGACTACTTAGTGTGGTCCGATTTCAATTCTGTGAGTTCTTTGGCAACTTTACTAGGTTATGTAGGAAACAGATTTTGGATTTTTTCCTTTTTTTATGTAAAAGAAAAATGTTTTTAATTTTGAAAAAAATGCAAGTTTAATTTATTTAATTACAAGAAACTGAAATTTTTAAATGAAAATTTGCTTCCTGCATTACATAGTTAAATAGCCAAAGAACTCGAATCTCTTTACAGAACTGAAATTGAACCGTCCTATGTAGTCGAACTTTTGTCTGGCTTTTTGTTCTAAAATAAACCAAAATGGCTTTTCCTCATAGAAAAAATGATTTAAATTAAAAATAATACCTTAAAGCTTATACAAATCAACCGGTTAATTAATTGGTACTCCGTATTGTCGAAATTTATTACAACCCCTTTTTTTCTTAAATATTGCCTATACAAAACTCCTTAAAAACAGACCGCATGCAATTCCCTTAAATTCAGATTTTTCATAATAATTATACTCGTTTTGAATCGCAGACGGCACCTTTTATATTGATACATCTTTACAGCGTATACGCGATTGCTGTACCTGGCAAATGTTCCTCTCTTTAACGCATTGCGCATAATATCATCTCGACAAAATCACAAACATTTATCCTAACTATTAGAATGTACCCTTTGATATGCGCGTACCGTCTCACCGCAATTTATTTCCCCCTCCCCTCTTACGTATAAACAACACCGGGCTAAGGGAGCCTGACCTCAACGTGTCAACCGACGCCACTGTCCAATGATAGTTATTAACATTTTAACTGGAAAAAGTTATTGTTCGCGCATCGATCATTAAGTATTCCGAGTACTAGCGCGCGTCCACCGGTCAAGGGCGACCGTCTAGGATGGGAGATTGAATTTTTGTTCTGTTTAGGCCGTCGTCACTGTTGTTGTTATTTCGTTCACGTCTGTTTGATTGCCAGTCGCCCTCATAATGTTACGAGGTACAGCGAAATCAATTTCCGCCCGCGCGCGATCTCGGCCGGCGGCGTCCGCGGTGTGGTGTCGCGTTGGAAAAAAGCTCGCACTAGGAAATTCGCCGCGGACACCGACCCGCCGCTCGTTTTTGTTATACTAATAACACGCGGTTCTCGAGCAATAACAGCCGGTACAACGGTACAACGACCCGGGGACACGTACAACGCAAAATCGTCGTACATTATTTACCGAATCCGAATCTCTTGTAACGTCGGTCGACCTTGGTAGAAGACGGCCTTGGCGGTACAGGTATAACAGTATGACGTGAGCAGCTTTCGGAAGTCTGAACGACGCGTCGTCGTCGACACAGGCCGAGACACGGTATGCCACCGCCAAGCGTGGCCGTACCGCTAACGCTTACAGATGTACGGCATACACAGATAAATATAATAATAACATACGTGTACAAACTACACATACTAACGACGTGTATTTATATACATATATGTTTTAACTATTATGGTCTCTCTTGTCACGCGGTAGAACGCGTCCGCGGCGCACGCGAGTGTATTATAATTAGACACTCACACACACGCTCAAGTGCACCCGTCGAACGCGCACCGTGTAAATCCTCATCCGTAACCCAACGCCCCCGGTTTATTGTTGTTGTTGTCGTTCAAATGTAATATTATTATTGTCATTAACCGTCCGTCGTCGGTTGTTCGAACAGGAGGTACTCGGCCGACGAATGTAGTTTGGACGCGGGACGCAAAAACACCATCACCCCCGGCACCACCGGCGGAACGGCGGCTGCTGTGACGTACGACTTGCCGCCGTACGACCAAAGACTGTCGGACACCATACGGGACGTCCACCGTAAGTTCCACGAAATCGGCATATACGAGACGGCCGTCATAGGGGGTAAGTGTTTTGATTATTATAATAATATTGTTTTATTGATTGGTCGGTCCTTCGACGAACCACCGTTATAACGCGGCGTCGCCGTAACGGTAAATCTGTATAAGCCACCCTTAGCGGTTAAGGGTTGATTGAATAAGCTTTAGTACCGAAATCGTTTGATATAAAAAACACTTGTAACAATTGCATGACATCAAATGTTGGAGCATAAGATCTGACATATATTTTTGAATGGTGCTTGTTACTATGTAACGTGCCATTTCCGACTTTTATTTCGTCACTTTAATAGGTGCCAATTCCGACGGTTTTTAACACGCCATAAAATGTTTATGAAAATTATAACTTTCATCACCGATATAATTACAAACAAATAGTAATCAAGTATGTAATACGTTAAAACAGTAAATTGCGTCGTTATTAATGTACCTACATGTATTAAAATACGTTTTACGATAAAAGCAAAAACATTTATTTTTTTATTTTATTTAAACACTGTTGTTGTTGAAAAGTTTTAGAATACCTAAAAGAGCGCCTCACCATTTTTTTCGTACAAAATATCAACAGAAGTAATTTTAGCAAGAAAGCAAGCATACACAATAATTAAACAACAAGATTTTATCAAAATGTTGACATAACCAATAGGCACATCCGAACACTGTTACGAACCTGTACCAAGTTTATCAACAATAGCCATTTAGCCCTTAACCTATTCATTTATTACATAAAACATCCATTTATAATTTAATACATTTTATTTTTACTGTGTGTTTGCTTGTTGCTGAATTATTCTTTTTTCCCTGTGAAATTTAAATTAATAAACAACAAATTGTTCATTAATATCGACCCATAATTTTCAATTACCCAAGTAGCCTATGGCTTATGATCACTTGCCGTCCTAGCCGGGGACTGCACTTATTTAATATTTTAGGGTCTAAGTACTTCTATATTGGTTTTGACTTTTGGGTAAGGCGGTGTATCGTTTAATTTGTAACCACAGTGATTTAGCATCCTAAAAAATTCTGCTACATTGTTTCTGTTGGTGCATTAGTGACTAGCACGTATACAAAATACGAAGTACAAATAGTTTTATTTTTACTATAGTTATTTTTATTTTTTATTTTTACCATTGTATATTTTAAAAGAATATTTTCCTAAAATTTCCCCCTACGTTGGTCTTATGTTACTTCAGATTATGAACGTATATACAATGTGTATTATTGTTTATAACCTTTTTTGGCGTTCTTCCATTTTGAGGTTTTTGTAGCCGCCACATCTAACCTGTTTTTAGTATTTATTAATACATAACCAAAATAGAATGTTTTTTTTACAACATTAAAATAAAAGTGCATATTTATTATGAAAAAAAAAATGATTTACTACGATCTAAAGTCTATAAATCAACACTACATAATAAAGTCAATGTACTGAGGTTCGGAATCAGCTTTGAAAAATTGTTATTAGTCTATCTGTAGTATTCGTTCCAAACTAAAATAATTTGTACTCAAATAAAACTTTTTTATTAAATGTAAAACTTTATTAAACATCTAGCTATGTCAAAAAAGTAATCGTTTTGTCACCACCTTAATTTTTAAATTAATTGTGCCCTAGAGGAAAAACTATCTATGTCCTAAGAATGGTTTATTAGGAAAAGTTTTGAACGGATCTCTTAACTTTAAGTGGGGTGGGAGGGTAGTGAACAAACCGGAACAATTTTTATTTGATTTTTTCAAATAACCTGTGATTGAAAAAATCTATTAAAAATGTATTTATTTAAACTGTTATTTAAATTATTTATTTTAATTATTGTATTCATTTTTATCACTTACGTTTTTCATAATTTGAAAATTTATTTGAAATTATTATTTGGAAGTTTGTATAAAAAAAAACGTGTTTACTATTTGAGTTTTAAATGAAGTACGTTTTTTTTTAAGTAATTATTTAAATTGTATTGTATTATATTAAATAAAAAAATATGTGAAGAATCGCCACATCTGGTAGTGACGTAGTAGGTACATTTGTCGTCCGATTTCTGATCGATAGACTATATTATAATGTATACACTGTCGCAGTTCACAGATATAATTCGTTAAATTCAGTTCAGCAGTTTAGAAGATGTAGCACAGACCAACAAAAATACTGAAGTTAAAAAAAGACACTGATATACCTTTACAAGCTTCGAATTACAGCTAACATAAGAATGTCGTACATTTCTGAATTCCTTCACACTAAGTAATTATAGCTTGTTAACACATAAAAATAAGCTATAATTTTAACTTAACGTTACCTCATTCCCCACTACATAAGGTAAGAATTTTGGAGTCATTTAATTTTTACATAATGTAAAATAAAAATTTTTTTAAACGAACAAAAATATATTTATCGCCGTTCATCTGTGTACGGTGTACTTATCTAAATTACTTAACGATAGGTAATAAGTACTACTGATGTAGTATGATAATGGTAGTATTAATCGGTCCTTTGTTGTTACTATATGATATAATTTTCTACTATGTTACATGGTATCGATCGATATGTATCTTATATACGACTACTTTATAAGTCGAATCGAATACAGTTTAGTCACAATTAGTTTTTATTAATTATTGAAAGAAAAAAAATAGTAATAAAACTAGGTCATTACACAATTAGTAGCCGTTACATTATTAACAGATAAATCAATAGACGTGGGAAAGAGCTTTTAATGTGTCATTTTAAATTAAAGCCCGGTCAGTCTATTTTATGTACGTTAGAAATTCAATATCCTATTGAATCGATACGTCTAATAGTATCCTGAATAGCGATGTAAATTTCTCCATTAGCAGTCGACATGTGACAACGGATATGCAATAGACTTATAAGTTATATATTATTTTAAAAACCAATCCGAACATTTTGCAAAATTGTACAGATATTATTAATCAAAAATATATTTACAGTTATTCTTATTTGATTTATAAGCTATAACACTTTGGAATATATTTTCTTTGCTTCAAAGCTTTCAGTATTCTCAAGTGTGTACTTTGATCTCGTTGGACGTTTCATCCCCTACGAAATCGGCTTCTTGGTTGCAAGCCAACAAGGATTTTCTATGGTATCAATAAAATCTTTATCCTTATGCGTTTAAAGCATTTGACATGTACGTGCCATTGTTAATTTGTTGAAGTATTCGCACAGTTAACATTTTTGCCTAAATAAGATTAATCTTTTATTGTACTAACAAAATGTAAATTGATACTTTTTATCAATAAGTGCGTTGTAGTTTATTTATCTATTGAAATGTTGTTAGTTTTTTGCTTAGTTCAGAGTGTTGGGCGGTAGACATGAAACAGAAAATGAGTGTAGCGGAGAGATCCAATATTAAGTGTATGAGTGGAGTGACGAGAAAAGATAGGATAAGGCGTGGCTTCGATAGCGGACAAATTGAGAGACAATAGACTAAGATGGTTTGGACATGTTATAAGGAAAGAGGAATCGGAAGTAGTAAGAAAGGTAATGAAAATAAATGTACAGGAGGAAAGAAGGAAAGAGAAAGACTGAAAAAGAGTTGGTTGGATGCGATTGAGAATGATGTAAGGACTGCTGGTGTATGCGAGAGTGATGGGGAAGATCAAGTCTAGTAGAACTTTAGAACAAGGGAGGCAGACTCCAAATAGTTGTGATGAAGACGAAGGAGTAGAAGAAGATTACATTTTAAATTATAAAATTACAGTAGTAAAATCGATTCTCGTTTGTCGAAACGTATGATAGTTAATTTCTGGTAGCTTTTGATCAATTTTACCATCGCTATGCTTGTGTAGAATATATTATGTATCCCTTCGCCTCTCATGAATCATGCTATGTTTATAATATCTATTCATACGTGTTTCTTGTTCACTTCTCCCGCATTTGTGTAACGGCTCTATTAGTGTTTCTATTATATTAATAGGAAATAGGAAGGGAATATAATATATTAATATGCTGACGTGTGACCTCCACATGACGTGGTATGTGCTGCACGTATTTTGTGAAAAGGCTTCCTTTACACCATATACTATACAGCCATACAGGCCTACGCGGGAGACCGTACAATATTTTGTGATTAGAAAAATATTGACTATTTGTTATGTTTCATTAGCGTGTGTTATTTTACACACGTTAATGAAACAAGTTATTAGGTTATTTTACCTATATAATGTCAAATAATTATTTTGTCATGTGTGTACATGGCAGGGTTGTGATTTAAATTTGAGTAATCCAATAGTTCGTAATTATATGTATATATAACCACAAGTTTTCTTCACTAATTTCTAATTGTATATTATAGACTTTTAAAGATTACTGATAACGCAAATGCTTGGAAGTTGAAACTATACTTTGGCTTTTTTTATTTTACAAAATAATATACTTATTAATTTCACTTATTTACTTTCGTTTAGAAGCTATAGATGTTTAAAATTTACCTTATAACATAATATTATTATAAAAGTATGCAGTGGGTGAAAAAAAACGACCAAGAAGAGAAGATGAATGAATAAAGTATAGTACCGCGCACCCGCTACGGGCGAACGAACACCTATTAGTTCTCAACTAAACTGATGAACTAGTCATGTCTAATAATATTGGTGCGAAGAGAAACCACCACGAAGGGCAGGGAAATGAGAAACGTTAGCAGCAACCGTTATACAGTTTCGTACATGCGCTTCAACTGTAATACGCGCAGCCATTAAACGTTCATAATTTCTAAACTAATTGCGAGCAACGCAAAACTTTTGCAGATTTGTAATCAGCGTAAAAAGAACTATTGATTACAAAATACAACATTTTTTCGATAGGTTTATACCAAAAAAGTGATATTTTTGGGTAAACGACTATGTTATTAGGTTGAAAATAAAATAACACAAATTCAGCTTACCATCGTAAAACTATTAATTTATTCATTTGTTCATAATATATAATTCATTAACGTAATCTGTGCAAAAGCCTCACATACGTAAATGAACACCATCCTCCGTCCTTGTCGTTAATTTAAACGAACTAACAGTGAGGGATTTAAACGAAGAATGTTGAGATGTTTCATTATTATGTAATATGTAATAGTAATTCTTAATTGTCACCGCGAGAATACAACAGAATAACAAATTAGTAAGTTCACATTATACCAACACATAAATCTATTCGTAGTATGTTGGTACGAAGCTCTTGCGTTTAATTAAAATTTTTCGAAACATTTCTCGGGCAAGAAAACATAATCGCACGAAGGAAGAAAACGGCTTCTCGGTTTTCATTCCTTATCATTGATTATTTAACGCAGATTCGTTTTTTATAAAATCTCTAATTGTACATTCCGGGCTTTATGCAGTTAAGGATAAATTAAATAAAGGTAATGACTGAACCTGATAGCAATATTAGTATACCTACTTACATTTTTATTTTTATGATAGTCATTTTGTTCTATTTTTTTTCAACCACTTAAAATTAATTTTCTTTGATTGCTTTGCGGTCGGGCGCAAGATGCGATTCTAATAGATAATTTCCTTTCTTTGGTCTACGGATAAAACCCCACATAATAGTTCCACGTGCGTAACACGATAGCTCCCTAATGGCATGTGGGAAACAGGATATTCGAGCCGTGGACTAATATAGATAACCAGTGGCTACTATATGGTGAAATAACATCCTGTGCCGCGGACGGTCTGAGTATCTGCACAGAGCATATGCCACCATATCCTTTTAGGATTGTGTTTGGATGGTATTATCTTGCTTCTTGGTAAACTAAAACCGTAAAAGGCGTTATTACACGGTTTTAACTCTGCCGCCGAGCAATGTCGTCTCGAGTGTTATTTATCTGAGGCATCATCAGGACGTATACACAATATCATAAAATCATAAAATATTCGCATAATAATAAGTAGTGACTTGAGCTTCTGATGCACAAGGAACGCCCAGTAAGTATCGATTAACCTATTTTACCTATATCCCGGTATAGCCATAACCATTTTCTAGAAGACTTTCTTTTTTTCCTCCCAATTTCCATAAATCTACCTTAAAATATCGAACTTTTTTGTACAACGCATTTCCATTTCCTATTTCAACCAAACGCAGTAAGATATATATTACCATAGCTATAATATACCAAAATACTCGTACATCGAGAGCATATTTTTAAAACGGGTTTTCTATACTTACAGTTAAAAATATTATAATATTGTTTGCACTTTATTGGTAAATATTTTAAACGTTGAAACATGAATTGTTATAATGTTATCACCTGAATCTTACTATACTTGTCACCTATCAGATTTTATTCAAATTTTATATGCATCATTCATATTTAAATTTTCATCACACAATATATAAAAGCAGAAGGGTCACTTTCCATGTAAACAAAAAAGTAACGACCATTTTGTAAAGACCTATTTAGTATATGTGTTATATCTATACACAACTAAAACTAATAAGTAATAATATACAGATATAAGATATTATATTATAGTGATGTAGCCTTAAGAAGATGACCGCCGCGTTTTTTTGTTATAAACTGATAAGTACTATCCGTACCGATTTCATCAACATTTTTATGTTTATTAGATTTGTATAGTGACAAGATGCTTTTTTTTTGTGAACTCCAGCATAAAAACATTTAATGTTAATATTAAAATATATTCAATTAGTTTGGTTAGAAATTGTGGATCTTAGTATGTATGTTACAGACTACAGTGTGTATGCGCACTTCTACTAACCGAACTAGTAACAAGTATTATATTATGTTTGATTTATAAGAATTAAAATTGTTATAAATTATAATACTAGTTACTTATCGTTTACTAGATTTAGATGAAGGTATTTCTTAAATTTTTCAATTTAATTTTAATATTTTTAGGAATGTTTTTAGTTACTCTACTGCGTGGTGATGCATTTATGTATTATGCACATTGAACATTGTATTGCAATAAAGGCAGTGTGTAAAAATAGTTAAACGTATTTTAGCATAAGTGTATGTATGTAATCAGAGTTGTGCATCATTCAAATAAAACGTTATCTAAATAGTCATCTAGAATCTAGATAACACATTATTTAAGTAAAAGTAGTTTAAATCATATTTTTTTCAAATAATTTTTTATTCGATTACATTGTGGAAAAATTATTCGACTAACTTGTTATTCGAATACACATTTGCACAACTGTATGCAATGTATGAACATTAAAAAGAGTAATTTATTGTGATATAAAACGATTTTTCTAAAATACCGTTTCCAATTACTCGACCTCTACCAATTGTATAAACTTTAAATCAAAGCACAACTCATTGTTTTTGCCCCATCATTGCGTGACAAATTAAACTATTTTATTATTTATAAACATGTGTACACACGCCTATATGACTAGGTCTAAAAAATTTTTTTTTACTTTCCCCAGTAATCGGTAGTAGTTTACTGCAATAAAAAGTCCTTAAATTTACAAATCCCTAGTTACACACTAAGTACATCCTCATGATTTTTTTGCAATGGAATAAAATTGGAAATTTTGTAAGTGGGTGAATTGGTCAATTTTAAAAAAACGAATGCATTTAATAAGTCGGTGCCGAATAAAAGACAAACGGAGATAAGACAATTAATAGAGTCTGTTAAGCTAATTATACATTTTATACAAAAATAACAACGTATATTGACGCAGATATTAATATTGATAAACCATAATAGTCAATAATTTTTTTGTAATTTTCGTTATTTTCGGTTAACGTTTTAGCCAAATCCCTATCACTAATCGGTGACCGGTGTGCTTGCAGATATGACACCTGACATCCCGGATCCGAGAATCCGGTCATCACCAGAGATGAGACGGTCGGAGACGGATGACCCGGCAGAGTGCATGAAGCTTGTGCTAAGAGCTGCCCGGGACATGGACCTGGAGACTGTAGCTAACACATTGGCCAGCTACGACGAGCAGTTTTTTTACACCAATATAAACGATACGGACTCAACGGGCAGGGTAAGTACAGACAGACAGACATATTATGTTCAAAAAAAAACTTAGGTTATTAGCCAATTTTTTGGTAACGTCGTAAAGCGTGTAAAAGCGACACGTGTGAGTGTGATGTGTACCATGTGTTTTTGACTGGGCGTGGGAGGTACACGTATGAAGCAAGCAATATAAATAATAAAAGAAATAATTTATGACATCGCTGTCGGTTGCATTGTATATATAGATATATATATTATTTTTTTTTTTTAATTCCCTTATCCTAGTTGGTCGATGTACTGTACAGTCATCAGCGTACTATGTATGTTTCCGGATAGAATAGAATTTGTCGTTTCGGAGTTTTCGACTTCACAACTGTTGTTACAGTTGTCGTCGTTACATGTTTGCGAAAATTGTGCCCTCGACCAAACGATGCGGATAATTTTTTTTATTTACATGGTGTTTCCAGTTCAGTAAATAGCTTGGCGCAATAAAGTTGTAAAAACTAGCAGGGAAAATGTTTGAACGCTCAGTATAATATTATTATACAAAGCGACAAATAATCATCGTTTTGGTGGCGTTTTTCTCTTTTATACGATACACCTTTAGAATAATGAAAAATATCCGAAACGTTTGAAATGATTACTGATACAGTATGATTTATTCTTGGTCCATTAACTGTAACCGTACGTACTGTATCAAACTTCCGGTCTGAACTTAGTCTTTAAAAATAATTCTTATCGGATAAAAAAGGTCATATAATCTTAGGTGTATGTGTATAAACTATAAGTCCTACAGTCCTAACAGATTTTCCATTTAAAAAAAAAAGTATATAACAGTTACCCACGGAGAAGTTTACTTTGCTAATAGTTACTTTTGTTAAATTTAAGTTAAAATGTTTTTTCAGTAACTTTATTCCAGTTAAAAATTGTGTTATAATATTTTCTCTTCGCTTGACGTGCTTTATTTTTATTAAAAAGCGAGTACACGGTTTCACTTGATGGTTTTATTTCTATATTTGTTTTAGCGGCGCGGTAGGACACAAAGTATGATTTTGTCGTCAGTAAAAATAAAATCTACGTGATTTGAATTACCTTCTGTGTTTTATATAACACAATCCATTTTATTGAAATTCTATACCTATAGAAGCAAAAATAAGATGCTTCATTTCACTACTAACTTTATACGTGTAATATGCTATACCAAAGCACTTACACATTATTGTTTGATTAAACAAAACTCTTCATTATTTTAACTTTTAAAAGTATGTAATTCGTTTTCATGTGATGTAATTAAAATCTGATGATTATTTAATTTATAATGTTATTGTCATTAGCATTTTTATTAACGCTACAATGCGATGGAGCTCAGCAATTTTTAAGTACACAAAAAAAGCAAATTAAACTTAATTTATTTAGTTAAACTTTTGCGGTTAAATCACACAATACATTGTAGAGCGTATTAGTATTCCTAATATACTTCCGCATGAAAAGCCTTCGATAAGTTTTAGTAAAATAATTATATACCATTCCGTTGTTTTTTTTCTTTTAATTAAACCATTAATCAGACCAGACTAACTTAATTAATTCAGAAACCCAACAAAACAAATTGTATAACACAATTTGTTATGTCGGCAAACTTAAACAGAATTTGCATTTTATTATTAAATTACTTATATTCAGTATTCAGAACCCTAAACTACAGAAACTCAAATTTAGTTGTCAATGTTTGTTAATTTTAAATCGTTAATAATTGCCATTCAGTTTAATTCTCAGTTCTTATTAAGAGGGGTTTTTAAATGCGTAATTTAGTTTTGACGTCTACAAAGAAAATAATTATTTTGAAAGTATTAAATATTGTGTACAATGCATAGTTTCGCAGAGATATTACGAGGGGAAGAGTAAATAATTGTCATGTGTCTAATTTTAATAATTAAAAAAAACAAATGTTTCTAATATCTCAGAATAACTATCGTAGTGTGGCCACAGTCAAGTTTATAGTATATTTAAAAATATTTGTTATAACAAACAGTAAAGCCTTGTATTTATAAATTTAGGCATATGACATTTATTTATTTTATCTTACATAAGCTTGTATTATTTATTTTTATTTTTATAATTCATAACTTTTTCAGTTTTGTGTTATAGAAGTATAATAAGTTTTATATAGTATAAAGGTGTTTTGTTTACATTTTTAGTTGTTAAACTTATTTTTGCCTAAAAGTGCTTTTTTTGACCCAAGCCGCAGATGTAAATGTTGGTTTAAGCATTTTTTAAATCGTTTCCTCTCATAATTATGATAGCAAAAAATGTATAATTATTATTTAGGTTAAATATGCGCCACTGTAGTCTTTTTTTCAGATTATATAATTTATCGTCGCGGTATTATAAATTATTAAATTATAAAGTTATTAAAAGTTTAAAAAACAACAACACGGACCACCATTTGCTTTTTCGATTACAGTATTATTACTTAACATTAGAATCTCGGCATTTAGGCTTTATATTAAATTATAAATTTTATAAAGCCTAAATGTAATATTCGATTTTATAAGTGGTTGACTTTAACCTGTAAAGAGCCTATGATCTTAAAGTATGAAGTAATAATTGGAATCATTTTATTTTACAGACGCTTTTAAGCTACTTGACTTCCAGTGGTAGTTTGGAAATTGTTGAAGAGCTCTTGAGAGTGCCCGATCTGGATTACAACAAGCCGGACAATGAGGGTAACACGCCGTTGCATTTCGCAGCACAAGCAGGTCAGATAATAATAAATGGTTAATCCCGCCTAGAGCGTTTTGAAGGACTTGACGATAACGTTAGCTTACTCAAAACCGACTACAGCAGAATATATATACTTTGTGAATATCCTTAAACACCCATGTAATTTTCCACTGCGATAGTTGCAATGCAAACGTCACAATGTTTTAAATATTAAATGGAATAAAAGGATTACCTAGATTCGCCTGCTACTTTTGATAATAACAGCTTTAATGTTTAGTGTACATGCCTTTAGTTATTCTAAGTTTGACTATAGAATAGTAGTATAGTACTAAGTGCTTTTGTAGATAGTGTTAACCAGTGTTATAAGTGATAAAATTATTTTCACCAATGACCCTCTATAAAAAGTTATAAATCGGCTTAAGATTAAGATTCTCGCTTTTAATAATTTTAAGAAGGTGCCATATCACTTTTTTACATGTCTCAGTAGGTGTACGTTCTGAGGAACTTAATAGTTTCAACGTAAAAGTACATCTATATAACAATTTAAAAAACAAGTCTATTCAGTTTTTAAATATTACATTTTGTAAATCATATTTTCGCGTAGTTAGGCTATAAACAGCATTCTGTAAAATTAGTTATTTGTGAACGTGACATTATTTTTTAAGCTTTTAAACAAGAGCCTTCGAAGGTTTTCACGTTCTTACTTTAAAACTCGTTTATAAAACTAGTATAGTTGGTAAATTGTAAATTATTTTAATATTCGTTGATTGCATGAGTTTGGTATAAAAACAATACAATTTAATAATAATTATTTTAAAGAACGTATCGTCAAATTACTTGTATAAATAGCACGGCACAATTGATATAATGAAGAATTATTAGTACTTCGTTAATATTTCATTGATAAATTTATAAATGAAAGGCAAAAAAGGTGTGCCTATTATTCCTGATCAATTTAATTTAATTTATTTCGTTTTTTTGAGTACCTGCAAATTGCATGTCGTTTTAAAAAAAAATGGAATAATTTTCTCCAAACAGCTTAAGGTTATTGTGGTATGTAAAACCAATATCAACGGATATTTATAATTACGAATGAATAATATGAAAGCATTAGCCAATGCCTAACAATCGTCTCTGTTTTAAGTGACCAAAGTGTAGGTGTTAAAACATCAGTGAAAAATACAGGATTCATCTTGAATTTACTCAAATAAACACATGACTTAACGAAGTACTTCTAATACAGCTATCTGGTTCTTTGAATAGTAACAGTATATTTAACGATTATTGAAAGACCTCATCTATTATCGTTAACGATTGTTTTGTTTATTTTTTCAGGCCAGTCGGAGATCGTCTGTCTGTTATTAAACAGCTGTTTGCACCTAGAAATCGATGCCAGAAATTGTTTGGGTTTCACGCCTTTGATGAAAGCCGCCCTTCAGGGACGAACGAAATGCGCCAAATTTCTTCTTTATGCAGGTAAAAACATAGTACTTCTAATAACAATATTTCATTGTCATTCGGTGCATAGACAGAGTACCTAATTTAGTTACTATGCATAATTTGCGATTAAAATATTGGAATGACTATCGTGTGATATGAATAGTTTCTTTAAGAAAAAACAGGTCATTTTTTATACAGGTTAAGAACTGTGAAATAAATTAACGTTTTAAATTGTATGCGGTTCAAGAAAAAAGTCTGAACTCTGTAAGGCCTTTTTTTTTAATCTTACCATTTAAACTAGCTTTTTAGTTATAAACTTATATATAAATTATATATGCAAAACTAGTTTTTAACTACTTATAGTTTCATTGTTCTTTTACAACGCGGGTACTCGTACGACATTTCAAACACTTAAAACGTATTGTCCTTCTACGTAGCATATGTGTATATATAGCTATGTGTGTTATAGCCCATAAAGTTTAGATCCAGTTTAATAAAGTTGTCGATTGTTACATTCTTCAGTGTATATCTGTTTTGTTAGCATACACACCAAGCACATAGAGTAACGGCGTGATAAATTGAATTTGCCAAGGATTTATGACAATGTAGATGGGACATCAAAATCCACTGCCTCGGTTGCTAACATTTATAAAGTTTATCGCGAAGCATCCCCGTTTATTTTGCCTAGTTATATATATTTTATAAGGGATGAAAAGCGTGCTCGACAACAAATTATATGATAATTTGGGTATGCGCCAGTACTTTCTTGTTAAAATAAAAATATTATACCTTCGCCTCGCTGCAAAAAGGTAATTAATCATTTCTGGTTAAACCCAATGTTCTGCACAGGCAAACGAAATTGCGGCCACTCGATAATTGTTTGTTATAGTAAACTTAACACAAAACCGGTGAGTGGTTCGACATTCTATTCAAGTTTCTCTATAGTCGAGGATGGTGCTAGGCGGCTGAGACATGGTGGTGTAAGCGTTTCCTTCAAATTTGGTTTTGCCCCACCTGTGCTTTAGTTTATCAAAAGTTGTATGTAAAATAATAATAATTAATGGAAGCAAAAACTTGTCTGCTTCAGATTCCCCAAAAGAAAATTGTCTCCGGTGTGAAATGTCTTGACATCATCTCAGTTTGTAATTTCGTATGTTTCTATAACTCAAAATTCTAAAATATTTTTCGATTTTCTCGACGTCAGATCAGAATAGATAAATAATGTTATTTTCTAGAATTTAGTTATGACGGATACCGTCTAAAAAATGACCTGAATAAATGAAATTTACTGATTTTCTCAGCTGCGAGAATATGTCTGTGCAAAAAAATAAGAAACGCCTTCAGTTAACGCACCTGAACCCGTCCAAGTTATGTGTACAGGGTCGGTTGTACTTGTATTTACGATGGTATCTGTGGCGGTTCATAAAATAAATATCAGACTGTCAGTAGGGATAAGTGTTATCTACTAAAATATATCTGTAAACAGTAAACACAATACGGTTTATCTTTTTGCTTCTCGGAAAATGTATGTAGCTGTTATTTTACGATTTCGATAAATTTTCCAAACGAAATAAAAATATGATAAATCGGGATAAAACGCCGTTCATATTATTATGTATTTATTGTTTCACGTTATTTTGTATACATTATTTTACAATATAAGCTAAGTCCTACACAAAAATGCAAAACATGTTCTTTATAATCATTCATTCTGGTTACATCGCAAACAACATTATTCCATCGGCGAAACACCCATTTCATAAAAATAAAAACGTAGTAGCTAGGTCGTTGGTTATTTTTTTTTTACCGAAATTCAAATTATTTTTATTAAACAAAATTCAGTGGCACGACCTTTGTAAATGTACTTCAGTTATGTTATATTTTAATTTCAAGACAGCTTGTTAAACATTCTGATCACATACACCGTTCAACCCTCCTGGGAAAAACAATAATAATTGAAATGCGTGGCGCTACCACAATTATGACTATCCTGCTATGTAAAATCATTGAGTTTATATTGTACAATATATAGTCAATGGTAAAATGTACTAGCCGCTTTTATTAAAACAGATTGGGCCCATTTCATTTAATATTGTCGACTGAACCAGTTGTAACTTTTAATGCACCTAACGAGTCAACATGTTGACAACTTATCAAAAAGTTCGAAAAATCAACTGGACCCAGTCCATTCCAGAACTCAAAATCTAGATTAGGACCGTATTTGAAATGTGTGTTTAGTGCTTAAACGCGCTGCTCAAATGTAAAATGCTCTATAACGATCACAAACAGCACTTACCGATAAAACAATAATTGATAAACTAATAGGAGTATAAAAAGAAGGCAAAATCGATAAAACCAGTGGTATTTAACCACATTTTTTTAAATAAAAAAATGCCGTTCAAATTAAAATTTACGTTCGTTACCTTACATTATGTCTATGGGAAATTGTAACGCCCAAAATCAGTAGATTAGTACAATAGTACAATTAGCGAATTTTAAGTATGCATGTATTTCGCAGTTACATACATGTCGACAACAATGGACGAGGTATACTTTAACATCATAAATGGTTACAGGTTCTGAATACCATAATATACTATCGTCTTATCCTACAATACTACTATACTATATCATTATTTTACTGTAAACATTTTTGATGCTATCACAATGATTTGTAATTTTCCGTCAAAACATTGTTGAAACCAGAACACTTATACAAGACGACTAACAAATACCTTTCTTTTAGTGTTATGCCATTAAGGCGAACTTGTTTAAAGTCATTATATAGTCGAAATTACGCATTTTTGTTCATTGTAATATAATATAACATAATATAAAGAAAATGTCTGTTACGGCCCACGCGAGTTTCGAGTATTTTTCATTAAAATAATTAATCGCACTTTTTTATAAAGCCAAAAAAAGAACAGGTGTTTTTATTTTTTGGACCTTTTTTAAGACAACAAAGTCTGACTTAATTTTAAATATAACAATTTTAAATATTATACATTTATTTTTACTGTACGCCAAAGGCACGGGATTGTTTAAGTATAGATAAAAACAAATATTTAAAAATAATAGTATTTAACTTTAAGCTTGATGCGAAACTGAGAGGGTATTGTTATTAAAATTATGTGTTATTTTTGGTATCTATACTCAGATTTCCCAAATTGCTTAACTGATTTCTTCATGTAGCAATCCCATAGATTAGAAATCGTACTTCAAATGTACTTTATAAGGTTAGAAATGAAAAAATTCCACTCTTCCGTTTCAAAATCAAGAAAAATACCTTAAAAATGAACAATTCTTCAACTTAAACTACGGTTTGCCATAATTAATTTGAAAAAGGCGAAGTTACTTCAAATTTTTGTGGGATATTCTGTGAATATCTACAAATTTGCATCGAATCGCTTTTTGAAGTGATTTTTTTCACTTTCAGTTGAAATAATTATTCCTATAATACGAAGCGTAGTCAAAATACTGTGCTAGATTTTTTTTTTATTCGATATTTTCATGACGCTAAAATTATGTTTTTAATCAAATATTTTTTAAAAATCATGAATTTATTAAAGCACTTGGACAATAATTTGACTTACGACTGCCAACCCTATGTTTGGCTATACCAGTTCAGTTGATGGAAATATGAATTTAAAGAGAAAGTTTGTACCTATCGCCTATCAAATAGACATTATAATTTTATAGTACAAACAACGTTAGTGGTTCAATTACACGAGGTGGTTGCATTATTTAATAATCAATACTATTAAGTATTCATAACAATTTGTTTAACCTTTTAATATTTTTAATTTTACTCTACAATATAGACACAGCTGAAAAAAAAATTATTTTATTTAGTCGTTATTAATAATATTTTTGATATAAATACGAATTTCTATTAACAACAAATAACAAATAAAGTACCTACCTATATTTTATTTCAAACAAAAAATTATTTATTTCATTACATTCTACAATGAGTTTGGAATTTTTTTAAATGATTGCTGTACTTTACTTTTTGGAGTGTTACATCACACTAGAACATTATTGAAATGTAGTTTTTAAGTTTTATTCTTATGTAACACTTGATAAAGCAAAATATGCACCCCGAAGTATTTAAAAATTGTATTTATATTTCTTTGTTTTTTTTTTTTTAAATACTTTACGATGACCGATTCACATTATTCCACTATTATATATACACAACTCTACTCGTAGGATCGTTATAAATATATATATACACGAATGAATATAATACTCAATCATTTGTCTAAATTGTGTAAAAAAATATGAAAATAAGTGCATGACAAATGACAATAATGTCAGCTTGACTGGCCATTACTTGGATTATGTTTTCTAACGATTTGTTGCTTGTTTATTCTAGGGGCGTCACCAACCATGAGGGACACGGGCCGCGGCCTGCGGGCCGAACAATGGGCGCGCTTTTGCGGTCGGTACAACTGTGCGGACGTCATCGAGAAATTGGCCCGAAACCGTCTGTTGGAGCGGACCACTTCGTACGGCCGTTGGGGCAGCGATCCGGAACTGGGGCCGCACCTGTTGATCAACGGCCGACTAATGCAGCCGCCGACTGGCCTGCAACGGTCGGGTTCGCAGCGGCATTCGATCAAGTCCAAGCTGAAGCGGGCCTTTCGCACGTCCTCCAACCCGGACTCGACGGCCAACCAGTACTCGCTGGTAACGCAGCTGACCGGGGCCGCACTGTGCGCCAGTAGTCCCGCGCTTCCCGTGCAGACCCGCACCAAACCGATGGTGAAGTCGTTGCTCAGGCCGCTTACCGTGCCCAAGGTGACCGTCACCGGGCTGCCAGACCAACCAAACGCGCCGGTCACGCCTCCGTCACCGGAAGGACGGAACAGTAAGAAAAAGCACAAGGACAAAAAACGATAATGGAACACCAAATACCGGAATTTTCCGACCGAGAAAACTTTTTTTTCTAGAATTTATAATAATTCATTAATTTTTCATTAATATTATCATCATTATTATTATTATTATTATTATTATTATTATTATATTATATACTATTAGTTGTTTAAAAGACCATTCTAATCCGTACACGGTTGATCGATACGAATATTGAGTACAACAAGTTCGTAATATTATATTTATATTATTATTATTATGGCGAAGATAAAATATCCAAATTCAAATTAATTCCTTATTATTTTAATTAAACAACCCCGCCAAACGAGTATATTATGATAGTTTGTTGAAACAAATTAAGTTAACGTGGTAAAACAACTTTGTCGATTAAAAACTACACTATTAAATCTTGTGGTAAACAACAATAACACAGTTCGCGTCTTACCCTATGTTTGTATTATATTATGCGGGTATTCTGTGCGCTTCATCCCAGCGTGAAAAAGTTTTAAGAGGTTTCTATAGTGAGACGAGGGTGTTTTTTTTTGTGAAGTAGGAGGAGTTTGAATTATGTTTAAGTGGTATTCGACGCGGGAGGAAATATTGCAGAGCTCACTCGATTACCGTCGGGTGTACGAGGTCGACGACAAAATAAAAATAAAATTCACTGTGGGAAAAAACTAAATGCGCCGGTCGTTTGGGTTTTGTTTGTTAGTTTATTATTATTTTCATACCGTCGAATCGTCCCTGAACAAACAAACGGCGGAATATATTCCATTTTATTTGTTTTATTACGCGTACAGTGCACTAGTTTTTCGATTACAAAATTAAACCACAGACAAAATTATTTCTCCATATTATGATTCTTGTATAATAACACCGATGGGACCGGCCGACTACGACTTGAGATGTTGTACAACGATTTTTCGCCGGTTGTATGCGACATTTTTCATAATAACTTGGAAATAGCCGTGTTCAACTAAAGATCAGTTCATTTTAATCTCTCACCAACCCCCCCCCCCCCTAAAAACAATGGCGACTTTTGATAACTTAACAAACCTCGCCGACTCCACTAAAACCCAGTGGTTTTAATTATTTAATGAATTCTCTTTTCTTCTCTTTATGACAGTAGTATGTTTGAAACTGTAGTTATGGAAAGTTTATAATTAATAAATGTACAATAGCTTAGAAAGAAAACAGTACAATTATTATATTATAACGCGACTAACCGCGTACCTACAAGTCTGTCTCGCTTTTTTGCGCTTATCAAAATCTCGTGAGTTGACTACAAAAGATCATATCGACCAACTGTTGTTTTGAGTGGATTAACTTGGTTAAAAATATTCAAATAAAAAGTCCTTATTTGTTATAACTAAAGATGGCAAAATAATATTAAATAAACTTCCATAATCATTGACCAAAAAGAAAAATGACCAAAAAAAAAAAGTTTTAAAATACAAATTATTAATATTTATATCAATGTATTTATCAATTTGTTGCCAAAACCCGCATGGCCTAGGTTTCATATTTCGTTAGATCATATTCTATTTTGTTACAATATATATATATTTTTTATTGTTCTAAAATATAATATCATGTTCTGTACATTACACTATAGCGAAGCAGATGATTGAGGGCACGAAACACATGTTTATTTTATTGTTAATTTATTAGCAACATAGGTGTTCTAAACACCTATGTCACTTAGGTGTTTTAAACTCTATACCGTGGCTGTTGAGTTACAGTCCATAACTAACTCTGTTACCCACTATTTTACTTGCCTAGTATTTTCTTAATAACAATCACGCATAAATTATTGCGATAGAGATAAAAATACTTCTAAAAATGTTTATATGACATGCACAAATTAGTATTCAAACACAATGATTTATAAAATTTCATCAGTCCTTGCTATGATTTTAGGAACTTAAATTCCAAATTGAACGGTGACTCTATACGTTTTTTTATTCACAGAGCAATACGAACGGACGATGCCAAATAGACACTAGTGGTTACTCTAACGAAACAGATGTTGTATAATGTTGTTTGTATTTTTCATTTCGCTTTTTCGAACCGCACTTTCCTTTCCTTTAGCGTATGATCTTGAATTTGGATTAGGATACAAAAAAGCACCAATTTGTTAGACACATATATATTGATATATTATTATATTGTTACTTATCGTGGACGTCCGTCGCTTAGATGTGCTAGATGGGAAAAAAACAAACGTACACTACACTGATATCCAGTCAAACTTAATATTAAATCATATAAATAATATAATAATAATTTATAAATTATAATTACGTACTACATTGTTTTTTAATATTAAAACGTTTTGTTACAATTCAAATGTTATTGTTAAATTATTATTAGATACGATACTTTATGTCTACAGTTGCCCCAAAAGTCCCGCCACACTCAAAGTAATTTAAATTTAAGTTCAAGTAAAAAATATATTTTTTTTTCATCTGGAGTCGGTGAAACTTGGAGCTCTTTGTATTATCATTTAGAAAGAAATCAATTTAATTTTAATGAAATTAAATTATTTCTATTTGGGTTATCGCTGGACATTTGGGACACGCTGATTTTAAACATTATATTGTTATAAAATAAGGTGCTCTTTCTTTAGATATTGTATTTTTAAACTATAAAGTAGCTTTATGGTATTTAATTAATTTATTATAATAATCGTTACGTTATTTTTTATTTTCTAATATAATTCTTTTTGTAATTTTTAAAAATATAAAAGTATATATTATGTTATATAGTGTACACATATTTAAAAACGGTAAAATAAAACTCTATAGTACCTATTTAGTATTTGCCTATGGCGTTGGAATTTTGACAATGGTAAATATTCAAAATATTTTAATCCTTTCGATTCATACCCAATGATAAAAAAATTAAAACAACAACCGGTATTGTATTTAAAGCTTAATCAGGCGTTTTTGGACAAATTTTAATTTTATGTTCTGGGCAGTTAATCAATAACGGTTTACATGCGGTTTGCCGGCTACTCGTCTTACAGACGTGCAAATATGATTGCATTTGTTTTTAAATTACGGCGCAAAACTTGTTAGTATAAAATACTAGAAAAATACTGGGATACCCCTCATCCCCTAGGTAATTCAGATTTTGTTTTTTTGAATTGGCGCGCTTAACTAATATTTTTTCTCGCGCCCCTAAAGGTACTATGTACAATTTATTAACACATTTCAGTATTTAAAAACAATAATTTAATAAGGACGATCTGCACAAAATTATCCACAAATATTGAGTTCGTTTTTAAAACAAAAAAATACAATAATATAATATATTACACACAATAAACAATATTACATATCAAACACCCTAAAACGAAAATAATTACTATAACATTAACGTTCATTAATGTAACCATTTAAAATTACTGTCCATTTTATAATTCAGGAACTTAGGAACTATTGCGAATACAATTATAATGTAGTTATGTGAATGTTTTCTGTTATCTGAGGAAAAGCTAATTGTTAATAAATAAATTTTACTTGGAAACCTTTAAAATACGCCGTTAAAAATATACAGTTTGTTTTGCTGTCGCCTGATACAATACTGTAGTGCATAATACTATAATATATTTCCACATGCTACATAATGACTATAAAGTTTTTCTAATTTACTCAGTTTTTGACTATAATTATTACTTTGAAGTGTATACTAAACGTCATTAGTAGTAAATTGCTAATTGTCGATTAAAATTAAAATTAAATACTAGAATGCCGCGGTCGTTGTTATTTTTGTGGGTTAATATGTACAAATGAGCTTTCGGAGTTTATATCACAGTACAAGTACAAGTTTTGGTTTATTTATACAAGATTAAAAAGTTTAAGAAAAAACGACTGGATCCAGTTCAAGGTTTTGTTCCTTATAACAGTTGTCTTTTTAAATCAACAAAACTTTTACCTTATGCAGTCAATCGATTAGCGCAGTTTTATTTTTATAATTTATCAAATCAAAAAATATACTGCAGGTTACAAGCTATGCGACATAATATTATGTTCTACATGATATAACCTACCAATGATAATATTATACTGTACGGTGGATTCAGGTTGTACTCTATTAATAAAACTTAACAGACCGAAATTAACCGCTATAGTAGTATGTTAACGTTTAAGTACGAATAACCCAAGCACTTCTTAGCAATCAAAATTCAGATCACAACTAAAACATGCCGTGTAGTATACTACCATTACTAAATTATATTACCCAGAACACAACCTTGTATCCTGTAAAATACAATAAAATCAAATTACTCTACATTTATCGATAGCCGACCGCAAGTGTTTTTTTAGAAGTTCTAAAGTAGATCAAATTATTTTTTTACATAGTATTTAAACTGTTTAAAGGAAAACAAAACAGTAAAATTGGATAACCAGTCAACAGTATTAAGAAGAAGGGGGGATCATAGCTCTTCTTTATACTGTTTGTTCTTTCGACGTCGTTTGACCCGACTGCTGGACAACAGTTCGCACGCCTGTTGGACTTCAAAGAATTTATCCTGCGCCTGATTTTTGGCTATCTCGTCCTTGGCCTTGTCCGGATGATATTTCACCGCCAACGTTTTACATTGTTGCTTTATTTCCGCCTGCGAGGCTCCAGATCTCAGTTCTAAGACCTATGAAAAAATAAAACCAATTTAAACCGTGGAAAAAATGACAATACCCAGCGTGCGCATCATTAAAATGTGTGTTATAAAATATATTTTGTTAGTATTGTATACTCAATAGGGTTGAAACAATAACCGTGTCAGTAAGTGACACTGGCAAAGCGTGAGACAGTTATTAATGAGAGAGAGAGAGTGCGAAATGGCGAGGAAAGGAATCTAGAACGCAATCATAATAATATTCGCCATAAAATGTACAATCGTTGTTCGGTATAAGTGTCACCGGTCGATGCGGCGCAGTACAGCTGCTGTCAACTGTAAAGTGGTTAAATATTTGATTTTATCTGGACAAATATAAAAAAAATGAATTTGTTTGAAATGTATTGGTACCTAGGTATACGAATACTACTCTTTTTGCAAGATTTTATTCTTTAATGAATAAAACAATTTTTTGATAGCCGGTGTCGTGTTCAGCGTTACACAAAAAAATGGCAAATATAAGATAATATAACTACAATATGAATGTATTTAGAAAAGTTGAAAATTTGTAAAGAAAGAAAAGTTGTAATGAACGCTACCAACTCCCAACAGTTAGTACCTAATTGTTTAATTATGTTAAACATGAGTCATGCAACTATAAATAATGAACTTAAACACTGTAAGTTGGTCTAGCAATCTCATAATTTGTTGTTAAAAAAAGCTACTGTTCACTTGAAACAATGAAGTGAATAAACGGATTTTTTAAATACCGTCTTGACTTGCCTTGTTTGATCAGTAGAAAATAGGTTTAATTTATACTGTACCATTTTTACAAAGATAATAATCGAATATAAATAAGCGTGCATGACTACAGTCTGCGCTAGAAAATAATAATAAAAACAAAATTGTGTAGCACATAGTTGTTGTTTCTAATCGTGACCGAAATTTCAGAGAGTCAAGGCCAAAAATCACTGGGAGTTAAGACAATGATAATCTCGAGGAAGCTCGCAATGACGACATCCGGTGGAGCTCGGGGCTTTATCTAAGGGAAATTATTTATCGTGACAGTAGGGTGTTAATAAGTTTAACGTCGAAAGGAGTAGAGGAGGGACAAACAAGAGAAAATAGCGAACGCACTTTAACCCGAATTCCTCGAATTTTATCCGGGTTTATACACTATATTCAACGTATTTTCCTAATGTAGTGTTTCAAAAAAATCTTTTACACTCGGCATTTCTCTATTTCTTCCACTTTCCGTTTCTGACCCGTACTCTATTTCGTATATCCCCTTAGCTTGTCATTTATTTTTATTTTTCCGTATTTTCGGAAGCTCTTGGGAAACAATTATCGATCTACAAGACACTACTCGCCTTGAACGCATTCTGTTCGCCCGACGGGTCCGACAGCGTTACTATCTGACGCCACGTTTCCATCCAACCGTGAGCCTGAGCAAAGTTCCAGACATCTACGAACGACTGTTTAACGTCCAGCCACCAGGGAGAGTTGAAGAAATGTCCCAGAGCCTCGTGGAACGGCACCTCCTCGCCATTCTCGTCCGTCACCTTAGCGTTGAAGTACAAGTAGCTGCTCCACAACGTCATGTACAGCAGACAACACAAACTGATTACAGCCATTCGCCTTTAAAACATACAGTGCGATTAGTAAAAATCAGTAAGTCTACGGTAACGGGTTTTGGATTCGGTACGATTACAATCATTTATAGACTAGTCGGTTTAGATTAAATTACAGTATCTGACGATATTTATGCTCGAATGTCGTTTAAATAACCAATGAGAAAAACATTTATCGGCAATGGCCTTATTAATTTGCTATACAATTTACCAGGTTAGCCTAATAGTTGTTAACTAGTTTCCCCGATTGCAATACTCGAGCATGGTTTACCTAACGTTTACCCTTACGCATAACATTGAAAGGACTCACTTGATGACGCTAGGAGATTTCGTGCTTTTGGGCCTCCAGCTTTTTTCCACGTTGTCGAACGTCCAAGCGGCCGCTAGTATCATGAGAGCGTATGACGTGGTGTCGTCTATGTCGTAGTTGGTCAGTTTAAAGATGTAAGACCTCAGCGGACCGCCAAAAGCCCACACGGCATAAGCGGCTATCGTTGGTGTTTTCAACGAGCCCATCTCGTGACCGACGTTACCCACAGCCCAAACGCCTGTGAGAATACATCAATTTACAAAATATGCATTAGCTATATTATAGTAAAGATTGCAGAGAAATAGATAGCGAGTGGATGTGGATGGATTTTGCGGAGACAAAGAACTATAAAAGTAAATCGTCTCGAAAGGCATCGACCGGTAGCCGGAACTTTAAAACCTATTAAAAACGTAATTTGTCTGAAGACACTTACCCACGACCGCTGCTAATGGAGTGAACACGTGTAACCACTCCCAGCTGAGCCCTGCGACTTTATCTTCGGGAACGGCTAATGCCACTACGGTACTGAAGAGGTAACCCACCAGGACCATACCAGTAAAACGGATCGTTGAGAACGGCGGCTAAAACACACACATGCGATGGTTAAGTATGTAAGGCAAGTAGTCCAATAGGTAAACCATGTAGTAAAATCATCAGACTTTATAGCCGAATAACAGCTTTTGTTTTATTATTTATTTTACTTATACGTAATACAAAACGTATTACGGTGCAAAAAAATCACATTTTTGAAAATATGAAGACTTGCAAACTGTGTATATTATTCTTCTTTCAAACAACAAAAAAAAGTTCAAAACTGATTACTCTTCGAGGTGTTATCGTTTTTTTAGGTATTCCAATAACACAATTCTGAGCAAAAAGAGGAGGCATGCGGGCTTCGATACTTAAGATATTAATACAAATTAATTTAATTTATTAATACAAATTTTAAAGTAATTAACATAAAACATTAAAAGAGCTATTTAATTTCGGGCTCTTAATAATTGTTCAGACAAAATACTGTTAAACTCTTAACTAACATTTATTATATTAACACTCAAAGTAAATATGTAGCTGTACTAGCCCAGTTATTGATTAGTTAAATTACTTTTTTCAACACTTAAAAACAAAATGGTCGTTGTTGTTTAGTTTGAAATAAAAAATATAACTAAAATAGATTTTTTAAGTTTTTGGTTAAGAAATTAGTAGTGCGTAAAAATGCAATAAAAGATAAAAAATTTTATTTTGTTTTATGATTCACGCAAAATGTTACAATAATGTATTATTATAGAAAGATCAAAGAAGTATACATGAAGGGTACAGGGAAAAAACCAGCATAGTCACTTTTTAAAAATGGCAATTTTTTGTTATAAAATTCGTTTTGATACAAAACGAAGCTGTTCTTTACTTTTAAGCACGATTATAAACAAACATATTGTATATTTTTAAAAGGTTTAAGTATTTCTTTAACATTTTAAAACATATTTTAGCATTACTTAAACATGTTTTTCTTAGATTAGAAAAAATTGACTGCTGGTTTTTTCCCTGTACCCTTCACATGTTAAATTCATATACATTATGTATATTTTTATAATTTTTTTTAAATGTATAAATAATACATTTTGGGGCCTACATATTTTTTTAATTTAAATTGTGTAATAATAATATACATTTTATTATTTTATTATTATTATAATATAAGTAAAAAAATAATTTTTCAAAAAAAAACAAAAAATTGGGTACCTCATCTCCGTTTGTAAGCCCCATTAAGTCAAGAGTCGCTTGCGCTCCTCTCCCTGTACATACTATATATCTAGGACCGTCGAACATGTCCCTGTCGCTCTAAGGGATCGCGGACGCCCTAAGGCGGTACCGTTCACGTCCCGAAAGTTGGGTCGAACGACAGGGGCACTTCGACCAACCGTTTGTGGTCAGTGCACTTTCTGCAGTAGGCTGGTGAGCGGGGTCCGGGGACTTTCCTCGGGTCAGTGTGGACAGTTGGTAACCTCTTGGTTACCGCGCCATGAGTGTAGACCCGACGGTAAGGTGACGGAGACGAGGTACCAACGACCGTGCGCGATCTGCTTATATACCAAGCAAAATCGAGAAAACGATCACATGCGAGAGTGCAGCCCGCCAAACGACCGATCACTGCTATCTAGCGGCGTATCGTGTTACTCAAACGTTTCGTTCGCTTCATATCCATGAATAAATAGCACAGCTGATAAGAGAATGATACATTTTATTTAATTTATGATAATGGTGTCAATGAAAGTATTAATAATATTATCATTAAGCATATTATATGGAATATTATTATACTCAATGATACTATCCTAATTATGACGAATGGCAGCAATATAAAGTTTATATAGTTTATATTATAAACAACGAAATGTCCTTCGACTGCAATAAATTAATCTATACGATTGTAACTAACTGAAATATTAATCGTGGACGTGTAAAATATTAGATAATATTATGTTGGCATTTAATAAACACTACAAAAGGAACTACCAACGACGATAGAGTTGAATTCAACACAACATTAGTCATTACCATTGATCACAAACTATAGCTGTTATTTATATAATCAGAGTTGGACAAAAAAAAAAATGTTTAGCCTATGATTAAAGATTTAAACAAATCTAGAAAGGCTAAGCATTTTTGTAATCATCATTGGCATCAAACATGAAAATTTCACCTAACGGCAAAAACAAAATTTTTTTATAGTTAAATTGTGATCATGTCAACGTAAATATAATGTGTTTTTGTATTAAATTCTTAGTCCATGTTTAATTATAAATTCAACGGGTATATAAAAATCGATTTTTATTTATGTTAACGAATATGAATAATACCTAGTAATAATACAATACAATATGTATCTGATATGTTTTTCATAAAATATATTATACCATATTACACACGATACTATTACGGTTTTACTAAGATAACATATTATAATAATAATGTGTTATTGTTGAAAGAGGTGCTTAACCTTATATGTAGGTAGGACGCTAAATCGTACGGAGGATACTCAAGGTCAAATTCCAAACAGTACGCGTTCACTACAAAATATTATTAACATCTAAGGGACGTGGAAAAACGTAAAGGTACAACATTAATCTTTGTACATTTTGCCGTATTAACTAACCCAAACGTGACGGTTAGAAATTCCTTTGTGGTTCAGCGATATGCAATACAAATTATAATTATTTCATGGGATGATCAATTCAATTACTGAATACGCTAATGACTTTCGGAATCGCGCATAATACTGTATTGTGTCTAAACGCTTGCCATTATGGTAACGACTATATAAAGATATTAGCGTTAATGTTATTGCAAAAAATTATACACATTAACAGACAATAATATATAATATGGGTAATGTTTTGTAATTTCATCAACACCGAAAATGTCCATAATCGTTCAGAGAATGTTACTTATTTAGGACCCGTTTATAAAAACTGAGTTTATGGTGTGGTGTGGTCATTAAACCCGCGAGTCTACGGCGAAAAACTAATATAAAATGATGTTCTTTAGGTAGTACAAAATGGCAAGTCCACTTCGAAAGAAAAACAAACAGCAATTTTCGCTCAGCGCAGACAAATAAGAATTTTGGTCATAAAAAAAAATGAATAGGTACAAGTAAAATGTTGATCTCCCTTTTTGTGCCTTTTTATAATATTCTGCAATTTTTTTAACGATTTTAGAGTGACTATATAGTATGTAAACCGACTTTAAATTATAGTTGTTTTTATATTTAAGCGTGATAAAAACAAGTCCATAACATAGTCGTGTCAACATCAGCAAAGCAAATAACGATCCGGCGTTATATTTCTTGTGTAAAACATGTTTCAATGCGAGAAAACATTGGAATCGACAGTCACTGGTATATAAAAGCAAATAACATAAACGATCGGGACAATTTAATAATCACCGTAATTATTTTGCTATTGTTTTTTTTCTAGCACGCCGTATGACCCAATTGCAGTATTTTTTTGCACTAAAAATTCTATTATCGTCTGGAAAACGATTTCACAGTAAATCCTCTTTTTATGGAGAAAGGCATGATTTGTCAATAAAAAAACAATATATTTTTTTTTTTGACAATGTAAAATGAAAAGGTCCGACAAAAAATGGTATTTATTTAAAGGCACGTCTCTCTGGCATCAAATATTTTTTAATTTATAACGGTTAACTATTTTTCCAAAATAATTTTACATTTGTCAGTGGGTATGAAAAAAAAATATTTTATCGACGTATTTCATGCACAGCGGTGTCGTTCAACGTACACGATTATAATATAGGTAATATAACTTAGCAGATAGTCACTGAAGAGGGATAGTAGAAGCTAAACTGGTTAATTTTGTTTTTTAACGGTTTTTTTCTATGTAAATTGGTGAAGGCAATAATATTATCGTTCGAGCGCTACGCCGCGCCGGCGTTTACAGTTTTCTTTTGGACATTTTCCCAAGCAAAAAAATTATAAACTCATTGGTAATTGCCAATTGGGTTATCTTTTTATTTAAACTGTGAAATTGCCTTAGATAAAAGGATCAAAGCGAGATATTGTGCCCGAAACGTAATGCCTTCTACCCAATATAATAATGATATGCAACAGGTACCATGGCTTAAATATACAAGGTTACTGCATATCCCTAATTTATTTTGTTATCAATTCACAAAATGGCAGCGTAAGGGTGTATCATTGTTTCTTTTGATAAATATATTCATAATACCTTCATAAAATAAATTAATTTGATTGGCTGACTCTTAGGCTGCCATTTTATTTTTATCGTAGAAAATTTCGATGAAGAGGGGATAGAAATGCAATAACCTGGTACATTTAAATCATGGCAGGTACGTACCATTAGGCATAAACTAACCGTGTTTCGAAAATTTTTTTTTAGTAGTAATTGTTTTTTTCTCGGAAATCAATGCATAAAATGTATTATTTATCCGAGTACCTTAGCCGGTACCTCATATAAACACCATTTATGAAAAAAATAAAAGTATTTTATTCTTATCTATGAGTTTTATATTTTTTCTAGTGTTTTATTGCCACATTTATTGGGTTTTGTTGTACGTGTATTTTTTTCAATGGCGCGAAACATCTGCACGGTTGGTAATTATTATTACTTTTTTTTGTTTGAAAACTGCCAGTTTATATTACCACATTATTTTTAATAGGTCAAAATCTAAGCAAATGCGGTTCTACTAAAATTATTGTCATTAATTGTCAACGTGCGCTATTGTCATTGATTCAGTTAAACAAATCAGTGCTGGACGCATATTGGATAATATGTATTTCAGAAATTATATTATGTTATGCCGGTTTGAGGTTTCTTGTTTTAAACAAAAACTTTAAATATTCTTTCTGTTGTTTTTTATTTGATAATTTATCAACGGACTTTTAGTGGAAAATTACTTACCCACTTACCTATACTTGGAATATTATTATATAATTTTATGACATTCCGTTGTGATTAGTGATTACTAATTAGAAAATTGAACAAAAGGACTTTATTTTTACCTCGAATATAATTTGTGGCAAAACAAACATATCAAGGGTATCTTAAACACGTTTTATAGAAAATTACATCATTTTTCCTAGGTTTTAAAAAACTTCGCCACTGAAGAAACACTATCACCGTCTAGGATTCTATACGTCATGTCATTTTCGGAGTAAACAACAAATTTAATGCATTCGATATTAAGTCAGTTAATACAATTACTGTAGAACAAACCAGTAAGGTGACAACTGACCAGGGTAAGAATTACTAAATCTAAATCCTAAAACTAGTTGGAGGTGGGTTTTAAGTTTTTTGTTAAATATTCTCGGACTAAGTTTAAAAAATTTGAATTTTTATCTACAACGTTGTCACAAGAAAAATTCAAAATATATTCTAAATAATAGTGTACAGACTAGAATGGTGAAGAGATAACTTTTTAACCAGTAGTACTGTCGAAATACAATGAGAATTGACTGAGAACCAAACGCCAGTACGCGTCATCGTTAATCGAAGTACTTAACTTCCAATGGGTCACCAGCCAAAAAATTAGAACGCGACCGCCTACGTGGACGAATTGAGCGCGCCATGGTTACTTAAGTATGCGTGATGGTGAATTATTTTCAACGGGACAAAAACAATTGTGAGGGACTTACTCCCCAAACTTTACTCACTGGCTACTGCCGTGGCCCCAATCCGTGTTGGGGTAAGATCTGTCATAATTTTAAAACCAAGGCCACCGCACTATTATAACAGTGTACCGTCTGTCTACGTTAACCGCAAATCAACTCACTTTTTCGTGGGTGCGGTACAAGTGGTCCATTTTCCGCACGTATTTCTCGTCGTCGTTTGCGTTGTCCACGTACCGACCGATGTAGAACAGATCCCTGAGCCAACCGAACCCAAAGTACCCGCCGAAAGTGCACCACCAAAGAATGCCCTGCAGATCGCGTCCCAGATAGAAGTGGTGCAGTCCGCCAAGGCCGCCCATCAGCCACAGCAAGTACGCTAGAGCCTTGCTCTTGTTCTTAGCCGGCCGCCTGCCGCCGTTCCGGCCGGTCTTGCCGTTCCTGGCGCTCAAGTGCTCTTTGACGGTTTCCATAAAAATATTTTCAATCCCAGTCTAATCGACGTCCACTAACGCACTACCTAAAACACTATAACTGTACCTTGCGCGTAGGTACCACGGCACTGTAACGGACGCGCGTCTTGTGTCCAGAATCACCTACGGTAATGTATTACCCGGCTTAAGGTGTAAAGACACGACCGGTATAGTCGATGGACGAGAACACGTATGTACGTACTGCGTATGCGCGCGTAGCGTCGTCCGTCGTACGGTGCAAGTGGCACGAGTAACGGGAATCCCGGATGTAGGCCGCCGACGGGAGAACCGGCTTTCACGTAGTCGCGAAGTGACGTCACGGCCCCATCCGACAGGTACGCTCGCGGTGCCTGCAAACATCATTTATGATAACTCGCACTCCCGAGCTTGTCGGCAGTCGCTTCGATCGAGAATGAAGTTTTCAATCCCCGATAAGCCCATACCCAATAGTGGCACGTCATAGCATATCAATATATCAATATAATATATATTGTATATATAATATATACAAGTGTCAGCAAATCTCAATTAGATTTTATTTTTATATAGTCTTTATATAGTATTTAGATAAATAATATCGATTTTTCAAATTACATAATAAATTGTAAATGTAACTTATTAAAATATAATTTTATAGGTGCATTATGATTAACGGATTATAAATATTTTGTGTCTTATTATCAGTGCTCATCTCTAGCTACATCCACTGTTATTATCAATAATTATGTTAATGTTAAAACTATTATAAATTATCAAAGACTCTTAATTTATTAACACGTTTTTAACACTGGTCAGAATAAGTACGACTGTAAGAATAATACAACTGTCGAGGTCGAGCACGAACACTCGACTTCACTATACTGTATACTTTATTATAGTACCAATTATCAAAAATGCTCTTTTATTAACTTATCAATACGCTAAAATAAACATTATTATAATTCTATGATTAACGGTAAAAATATATAATTAAGTCACAATTGGTTATTAAACAATTTGTCATATTATATAATATATAACATGAGCCTTAAGTATATTATCTAATATTATGCACATTTAGTAATTATAATTAACATGTTTAAGATAATACAATTTTAAATCATAATATTATGATATAGATTATATTGGGTTCCGTAAAACATTGATAAACCTAACAGACGTTTCCTAATTAAACATTTTATTTTAATAGTTGGGTATCTACATTTAATATCTAGACATTTTTTTAAAATTAGATGCACCTATATGGCTATATTAAAATTATTAAAATTAGTTCTTTTGTTGAAACTAAATTAATTGTGTTTATTATAACATTTTTAGTAGAGGATAATTTAGTTCTTAAAAAGTAACTATTTAATTTCATCAATGAATTAATTATTGATTTAATTATCAATAATAAATAAATAATAATAATTAATAATGATTGAGTTTTTAAATAGGTATTAATCAGATTATTAGTATTAGACAAACCCTTAACTATCAAAGCGTGTAGGTACGTGGTCGTGACTACGACCTTCACCTTGACAATCAAGGCCATACTTTTTTTAAACTTCGGCTAAGGATGTCCCAAAAAAATACGTATAAATAATTAAGTATAATATTATGCATCTATAATCTATTTAATATTTATATTTTTAAATATTTGCAATGATTTTTTTTGTGGCGTGGGGGCAGGAAAATTTTAAGATTTTACAAAAGAAAATATTATTGGAATCCTATTTAAAAACCATCAAATTTTCAAAGAAACTCGTTTAACGGTAAAATGATGAATTTTTAAAATTTCCAACTATATCTAGGTCGGTTTAGGACGTCAAATTATTACTTTGGTTAATACCTAGCCAACATATTGGGTCAGGTAATATTTATAATAAATTATGTTTGTTAATGTACTTTTTGAGGTTTAAAGCGAAAATCTGAAAATTTTTAATCTGTAAACATCGCTCGTCATAATTTGATGTGGTAGAATTACTTCTTATCAAATTAAACTAACTTACTAACCTATATTTTTTAAACTTATATTTTAGTCTTTAAAAATTAAGTTAGTAGGTTAGACAATTTTTTTCTAAATTTTTATCATGAAATGGTTTTGATTAAGTATAATATTATACTTGTTTTTATATTATAGTTTACTACTTAATTAAATTAGAGTACTTAAATAAAGTTTTTCGTTATTTTGATCTATTTAAATTAAATTACCATCAGTAACTATATACTAACTTTGAAAAAGGTGTTGAATTTTATCAGACGACCAGTTATCAACGTTATTTCATTTTCATCACGTCGGTCGTTTTATAATATTTTGGACGAGTACTGAATAGTGATAACATGCAACCAGTTATCACTATTACTGGGCACAAATATTTCACTGCTGTCTACTGGAACATTGTTTTTCCAGGCACCTGTTATGGTTTCAGGTAGTCATTTGATATTAATGTCAACATTTGAGAGGAATGCCAAGTTAATGAATTTGTAAAATGGCTTGTGGAACGCTTTCTACTACAAACATGTTCATATCAGAACTGGATCAAATCCTAAACATGCTGGAGCGTGGTACGCTCATCACTCGGTTCTATTTGAAAAAACGGCCAGAGAAGCGAACCCTGCGGTTACGTATGGAAACTAGACAAATCCTTTGGTCAAGAACGACCAATACGAATAACAAAACCTCTGACGGCAGCTGTAATATTTTAGTTTGTTTTTAAAAACAATTTACCTACTTTAGTATTATATTTTTATTTTTTAGTGGATTTGAGAGACGTGAAAGAAGTACGATGTGGCAGAAATAGTAAAGAATTTGACCGATGGACTGATGAGTTAAAAAAGAATGAATTTACAAAGTGCTTTGTTGTATTCTATGGCAACGAGTTTAAATTGAAAACTCTTTCTGTTGTTGGTATGCATCTGTATTGTATTTATTAACTAAACTCTAAAAACTAATCATTTTTGTCTTCAGTATTGTGGAATAGATAATACAAACAAAATATTAAATTAAAAACTTTAAATGAGATCTCATGTTATCAATAACAAGATTCAAAATACTTCATTAGAGCAATTTACAGAGAAACTTTAAAATTTTTATCTAATCAACTATTTATATTTGGAGAATAAAAGACTTGCACCAATTTACTATTTAGATATATACTTCTGCTAAACTTATTTTTATTTAATGGATATAAGAAAATACTAATGAGATCAAAAATATATATTTAATAAATCTTCACTAACATACATCTTCATAACATGGATGTTACAGAAACAGGAAATTGTAAAATTTTTTTTTTCTGTTATGTTGTTTCATCATGTAGCTTAATACTTTGCTACTTCTACTTACCACAATTGTTTCAGTATACAAACCAATCGGGCCGCCAAGTAATTTTATTTTATCTTTTAACCCAATTTTATCCGTAGAATGTAAGGAGTTAGAACATCTCCTAAAAACAAGGAGTATGTGATAACCCTTACGTCAATCAGCGTGTTAACAGGCTTTGAAGGCCCAACACCTTCATAAGATAGATTCTTGACAAATTTGCTTTTGTGACAGGTCTTTAGCCTGTCACTGTTTAATTGTATATATTTATTGAATGTAATTGTAAATAATAGATAAATATACAATAGACCTGTATTTGTCAACAGCTTAGGTATATAAAAAAGTACTGTAAACCCAATAATTTTCTATAAGTTCGTTATATAAGCTAAATAGCAAATATTTGTTTGAAGTAAAAATGAGAAGTAAGTTAAACTTTGTTTTAAGTTATTCTATATGAGCTCTGAAAATTATTTTTATGTCTTAAAATGTCTTTTAAAGTCTGCTAATATAACATTTTTTTTTAACAGTAATTATGTATGATAATTGTTTCTGTAATTTGTCCGACAAACAAGCAATTTATGAATAAAAGTAACAAATATAAATAATAGTTTACAAAATTTAAATGAAAAACTATTTATTATTTAAAAAAAACAAAGTAAATAATACTATTTATAACAATATAATGTATGATCTAATAAAATATGTTTCATTTTTATCATCTAAAGATTATAAACTAGATGAATTTTAACTTATAGCAAGTCCAAAGACTATAAAATTGGTTACAAATAAAAAAATAATGTAGGATACTTTTTAAGCATTGTTATAATTCCACATAAATGATCTTGCTGTACCCAACAATTAAAAAAAAATTCAATTTTAATGTAATGGCATCAGTAGAAAATTTGTAATTATTTTATTTATTATTCTTTTTTTTTAGTAGTGGTAATCCCTTTAATGAGATCAGGCAATTTGTTTTTCCATTAAAGGCTCGTTATTTTTGATTTTTTTCCCAAGTAGTATACCATTATTTCGATGCCGCTGCTTTTTTTTAAATTTTTCAATGTTTTTCCTTTTAAAAGATGCATTATATATGCTACATTTTTCTCTAGTCAAATATTAAAATACTTGATATATTTTTTTTTTTGAACTGTAACATCATTAATATTTTTGCTTAAATGTTGTCGCAACATAAAATTTGAATAATTCTATAGATAAAATTTATTTTTTATTTTAGCATTATCAGAACAGGAATGTGAGCTTTGGGTGAGAGGGCTCTATCACCTTGTTAATGATACGGTTTGCGCTCCATATTCTTTGCAAGTTGAAAGATGGCTGCGAAGAGAATTTTATAGTATGGAGGGCGCAAGAGAAACGTAAGTAATGCAATTGTTCATAAAATAGATGTATTATAATATTCATGGTTAATTCAATTCTAGAGTAACACTCAAAGATGTTAAAGCTTTTCTACCTCGTGTTCACTGCAAAATGTCTACTAGCAAACTGAGGGAGTTGTTCCAAGAGGTCGACATAAGGAAACGGAATGAACTTAGTTTTGACGAGTTCCTCAAGTTGTATAATAAACTTATCTGTAATTCAGAAGTATGTAATAAATAAACATTGTGTATTTTTATTATGTTCACTAATTTTAATTTTTAATTAATACCTGTATTGTCATTATTAGATATTCAAAGAATATTTTTCCATGTACTGTTCAGCCGACGACACGTTTAATGTACATAATCTTACAAGGTTTTTGAATGCAGAACAAGAAAGCTTGTGTCTCGAAGAAGAAGTTGTTGCAAGACATATGAAAGAATACTTACAGTATTGTGAAAAAGATGTAAACGATCAATTAATTTTTACAGCAACTGATGTAAGTGTTTTACAATAAATTTACGTAAAATATTTGGTCCAAACATATAATTTAATAACGCCAATAGTGAAAATCACACCAAACTTCAATAATTTATAACTATCCATTTATTTTATACTTAAAAATAATAAATATACAGGACATTAATTATCTAATTTAAGTTTTTTTTACTCTGGCCCAGAGGGACATTGATCATTATTCTGTAATGTCACATTATCTCTTATCACTAAAATGTTTGAACAATAAACTCGGTATGGTATATTATCTATAAATGTATAATATAGGAATTGTAACTATAGTAGCTTTTTATTTTTACATAATGATTTTAAATAAATAAAAATAATGATTTATAATAAATAAAAAATTATGAATACATTATCATGGAATAAATAGTACAAATGTTTACTCATATAGTAGACAAATAATTTATAAGGTAGCCTATTCTAAAGAACTTAACATGAGTAATTGCTTCAATACTTTGGTTTGGCTCGTCTCCCTGATTTCGCCGGCCAAAAACATTTCATCTACCACCGTGTATACTTTGTAGAAGTTGAACACCAGATCTAATTCGCATACATTGTGGAAATATTCATTGAGTACCTCCACAAAATTGTGTATAGCTTCCAAGTAACACAGGTTGTTGTCCCCTACATCGACGCAAATACAAAAGTAGAGGCCAGCGTATCTCCTGTAGATTATCTTGAAATTTCTAAATTCGACGAAGTTTGTGTGTTTTGCATCCCTTACAGTTACCACGGCGTGTACTTCTTCGATAAGCTTCTGTTTTTCGTCATCGTCAAAATTCATGTACCATTTCGCAAGTCTGGTCTTGCCCGCTCGGTTTTGTATTAAAATAAAACGGATCATTTTCGATTTAGTACACTTCTGCAATAATTTAAATATTCGGTGTAAAAAAATTAATTTGTATTGAACTTAAATGCAGCAGTCACGTCGGGTAGAAAATTAAAAAAAAATCAATAGTAACTGCTTCTGTTTACTCTCCGAGTGGCAAGTGAGGCAAGTGGCAAGTTTACGTTATCAATTATCATCGCTTCCCTTCCAAAATGGCGACCGCTGACCACAAACTGATAACAGTTATCTCATCCGCCCATTTTTACAAACCCCGCTTTTTTAATTTTTAAATAGATCTTAATTTTTATTATACAAGATAGTATTATTATATTAGTTGAAATGGTATTTTTTAATTATTTATGCAGAAATTTCTTCTTTACATATTTCGATTACTACAAAAACCCTATGGAAGCAAAATCTTTACCGAGTTTATTGTGAGCTTAAATTATAAATATTAATAAATAATAAAATGGGGTTACATTCAATCCAGCGACAAGGTAGTGGCACGTAGCTAAGTAAAAAAAAATAGCGTAGCGTTCACCGCCGTGTATAGTATTTATTATACATTAGTAATAATTACATTACGAGGTAATCAATAATAATTACTATACAAATTGTTTAGTTTGTTGACTATTTGTATTCAAAACAAAATGAAGTTTGGGATCAATATTACGACATTATTTATCAAAATATGACCAAGCCGCTTTCACATTATTGGGTATCGTCTTCTCATAATACGTAAGCAGTGATCATTTATATTTTTAAGTTTATACTATGCTATTATTATTAATATATTTTTTTAACTTGCTTATTTTTTTCTCAAAGTTATTTGACTGGAGATCAAGTTTCAAGTGACAGTTCAGTTGAAGCATATGCCAGATGTCTACGCTGGGGTTGTCGTTGTGTAGAATTGGACTGTTGGGATGGACCAGATGGTTTGCCAATAATTTACCATGGTCATACTTTGACAAGTCGAATAAAATTTTTAGATGTTCTAAAAACAATTAAAGAACATGCTTTCATTACTTCTCCGTAAGTATTTTTTTCGGGGGATCTTATTTATTCAAATTTTTTTTATAATTTTTTAAATCATTTATATTTTAGCTATCCAGTCATTTTGTCAATTGAAGACAATTGTTCAATACCACAACAGCGAAATATGGCTGCTACCATGTTAGAAGTTTTAGGCGACATGCTAATTACACAGCCAGTTGACAAAAATGAAACAATAATGCCATCACCTGAACAATTAAAGTACAAGTTTATATTAAAACATAAACGACTTCCTGCAAAAGACTGTGAACAGGCCGTCACATTTAAGAATTTTGAAGACAGTAAGTAAATGTTTATAAAATTTCCTTATGCACATGGTAAACATTTTTATTTTACAGCAAAGGAAACCGATTTGAGAAATACAATTAAAAATGGTGTTCTCTATTTGGAGGATGCATTAGAAAAAGAATGGAGACCTCATTTTTTTGTATTATCGGATAATAAGCTTTACTATACAGATCTTTGTAAAAACGATATTGATAATGATGAAGAAATGGAGGGCAGTGAAATAGAGCATAGTGATATACCCAGTGCAAATCGCTTGAGAGAAGTATAATAAATGCAGTAGTAGTGTTTTGTATTTTGAAAACAAAAAAATTGGCTCTTTAATTTTTTTAGGGAATACCTAATGATGAACTACATTTTGGTGAATACTGGTTTCACGGAAAACTTGTACGTGGTCGAAATGAAGCTGAAGAACTGTTGAAACAGTATAAACATTTTGGCGATGGTACATTTTTGGTACGACAAAGTGATACATTTGTTGGTGATTATTCTTTATCTTTTTGGTAATTGACATTTTGTTTTCTATCTAAACAAATTAAAGAAATATTATTTATTAAATTTCCTGTTTCATTATAGGCATCAAAGTAAAGTGAATCACTGTAGAATCCGATCAAAACATGATAGAGGTCAAATGAAGTACTATTTAATTGAAGGCACTATATTTGATAGTCTATATAGTCTGATTACTTATTATCGAACAAATCCACTGCGCATACATGTAAATATATAATTTACATTAAAACATGTATATAATGTGAAGTGGTGAGAAACAATAGGGTACAAGTGCACTAGTATACATTGTTAAACAAATTAACAAAATGGAAAAAAGAGTTTAGTTTCATAAATTTTGGATCAAAAATGTTGTGATTATTTAGCTGACGATTCAGACCTGTTGCAGTATTCACCTTCAAAGAAATATTCATCGTTCCACTGTCACATATATACAGACAATGGAAGTTGGAACGGTGACTATTAATCTGAAGATGGACCCTGCTCAAAACTCTAGCTAATTAATGACAACATGGATAGTTCTGAAAATGATTAAATTAACAGCTTAATCCATGGAAGTTTTAACACATTCTTAAAAGGAGTTTCATTATGATTTTTTTAAACTGAAAATTTTAATGAATGAATGTTGACTACTATTCAACATGCTTCATGCAAATTAATTAAATACCGAAATCCTATCTTGAGTTAATTAAAATTTTGGCTCAAGTTTCATTAAAAGCAAAAGGATATATTTGTACTGTACTTGTATTTATTTGTACATAATTTATGCACTTATATTTTACAATTAGTTTTAGAGCAAATATTGAACTATGTTTTTTTAACCTGACACAAAATTGTGGTATAATTATTTTTAAACTAGATTTTAGACAAAAACTGAATAATCTAGAAAAAACTTGAGAAACGTATGGTTATATATAACACAGATTAGATAAATTTATCTAATCTGTGTATAATAAAGAAATTAATATTTAAAAACTGAATTCCCTGTTCATTGTTACTAGTCACCACTTTAATGTTCTTTATACTATTGTAGTTGTTATTATTTTCATTTGTATTTAAAATCATTTTCTTTAGGAAAACTACTTAGTTTTAAGTGAACCTGTACCTCAACCTTTAAAACACGAGGGAATGGTCTGGTATTTGCCTCATGTTTGTAGAAGTCGAGCTGAGGCGTTATTAAGACGTGTACCTCATGAAGGCGCATTTTTGGTGCGACCGTGTGAAAACGATAATCATTTATTTGCTATTTCTTTTAGGTAATACAAATAAAGAAAACATTATAATTTTAAATTAACAAATTTGTTTTTAAATAATATTTTTATTTTAGAGCTGAAAAAAAAATTAAGCACTGTCGTATTAAATTGGAGGGACGTTTGTACACCATTGGTATAAAACAGTTTGAAAGTCTTGTCGAACTCATCAAGTTTTATGAACAGAACTATTTGTATAAAAAAATTAAATTATGGTATCCTGTCAACGAAGACATTGTGCAGCGATTAGGAACCGTAAGTAAATCTCAGAATATTAAATAAAATGTTTATTTATGAATAGTGGTTAGGGGCTTCTAACTATCATTTATTTAGGTGCCACGTATAGGCAGTTTTTCAATGAAACAACATTTATCTTAAATATGTAAACTCATACACGGAAAGCGTACAATTTTTTTGCAAATAAAGACTAAAAGTCAATTTCTAAAGTGTCTACCAAACCGATTTCAACAATTTTTTTTTTTTTGTATAGTTTAACAACTTTTCTATAAGGTCTAAAAGGCCGATTTTTTTTTCTCAAAAAAACTGTATAAGCATTTATATTTTTACTTCTTTATATTTTTTTCTTATAAATCTTACTATAATATTTCTAATTGCTAAATCAAAAATTGGCCTTTTAGCTTCACAGAACAAAAAGAAAAATTTTAATGCGTCCAATAGATACGCCAGAAAATGACTTCTACGAAAGTCATTTTTTATCAAACTTTCGCCATAACTCGGAGAAAAATAACTTTAAAAGTATAACAACTAGAAAAACTTAATATTTTTTCTTCTTAAAATTAGTCAGCATTTTAAAAATAGCTACTAAATTAACTTTTGTCAAATATTGCCTATCCTTTGCCCCTTCATAAATAGCGCTTATCGTTCCCCTTAACACAACAAAGAGGTATCTATTTTGATATTATTTTTTAATTTTTTAACGCACACAGGTCTTATTTATGTACAAAAAAATATGTTTCTAATTCTAAAAGTACTTTCCTTAGACTAAATCGGAGTTTTAAAAATATATTTGAATGCTTCATAATATTAACAATCCATTGTGGCACAACTTTAAAATTATTTTTATTGACAATTTTCAAATTTTAAAGTTTTTAATATTTTTTTCAATAATACTAAAAACGAAAATTAAAAATGACCGATGCATCAAGCAAGTATTGAAAAATCTATATCCGTTTTCAAAACTATTATTGGATTACTCGTTTTTGAGTACAGTAAATTTTAAATCTGTGTGATAATATAATTCATAAGCATTAATATCACTCATAAGAGTTAAGTAATACAATTGTTTATAAGACAAGTAAACACTATACAATGCTATAGTCATTTTGTGTTGTATTATGTACACCTGAAAAAATATTTATTATAAAAATATTTGTTTAGTTTTCCTAAAGTTTGGCTTTTAATACACGGCACTTTTCACAAAGAAACAAACTAATAACTAAAAAATAATATTTATTTAAACGTCAGACTTATAATTCATCAAAATTGTCTTAAATTAAATTATATACTAACATATATATTAGCCAGTCAATTATGTACACGTTAGTGTGAACATAAATATAAATAGTATAGTGTGCTTATTTAGTTATTGGGTTGGGTAGGATAAGATAATTTAATTTTGAAATGTTTGATCCATTCCATATGGGCATCACTTGTGGTTGAGGAGCACTCGATTTCTTTGTTTGGATGGCCACTGATTTTGTGTTCGGCAAACCTATCAAACCCAGCGCGGGCACGCAATCCGAACATAGCGGTATTGGCTGAAGTGGCTTTTCTTTGACAGCCGGCGTCTTGGTTTTTGGCACACAGTCGTTCTGCGGCGGCTGTTGGCCCAGCATCAGTTGTATGGGGCTGGAAGTCAATGATTTTATATCCAACGGACCGTCTGCCGGATTCAGGTACAACATGAGCGTTTGAAGCTGTTTTGTTTTGTCGTATTCATCGGAAAGTTTCTGCTTGTCCGGTTTGGCGACTTCTTGTTTGGTCGGTACGTCTTTCACCGCCGTCGTCTGCGATCCTTCCGCTTGTTCCGACGATCCCTTGTAAAAAGTGCCGCCGCTCAGAATCTGCATTAAATTAAAACCTTTTTTGGTTCCCGTTTCTGTTTGTGCTGCAGGTTGCTGCTGCGGTTGTGGTTGCTGTTGGGGTTTGGCGTTGACACCGTTTTCCGTGTACGTTTGGTATGTCTGTCCTCCGCTAATTGGGTTGGTGTAAATCGGTACCATCAACATCGAACTCGGATCGTAGTAGTAGAGTTGTTGGGCGGCCGCCGAGTTATATTTCTGAGATCCTCCCTTGTAACCCGCACCCGATCCTCCGGCGTATTGGTAGGCAGTCGGCCCAGTAAGATAACTGTACGCCGGACCTAAGTCGAAGCTGGACAGTGTCTTCACGCTGTCTTCGCCGTAACCCGCGTAATAGCCTCCTACGGCGGCGCTGGCCACTTGTGGTGGACGGTTGTTGTCAACATCGTAAGCTTGGCCAAACGTCGACCACGGGTTGTACCCGAACAGTCTCAATGGCTTGTTGGATAATTGCTGGCTCTTGAAGTTGATATGAGCTTGTTGCTGGCCGTCGGCGTGGTCCGCTTCCGCGGAGTCGACGTTCACCGTTTTCATCGGTTTGTCGGTCAGGCCGCTCTTGAAGTTTAACTGGGAGTCGGACTGCTCTGAGCCGTAGCTTGCTATCCCAGCCCCGTTTATGTTTTGGATCACCTTGACGATGTCTTTCTTCATGGCTTCGTCATCTGCACCGCCGTACTTAATGTCGTCCGCGCCCACCGAGTTAGGTTTCTTGAACGGGATCGTAAACTCTGTCGGTTGCTTCATCGTCTCGTCTTTGTCCTGCACGAACACCTGTTCCTGCGATACTTCCTTGTCGTCGTCTTGCCTGTCTTCCGTACCCGCCTGTTCGGCCGAAGCGCCTTCCTTGTTGCCGCTCTCTTCGTTCTTTGACGCCACATCGATGGATTTCGACGTCTTCTGCTGAGCCTGAGAGTCGATGGGCTGTACTACAATAGGCGTCTGAGCGTCAGCTTTGTACACCGGACCACTTTGACCGGCTGAAAATGAGGATACGGCGGCGTTTTTGTATTCTTCATGCGTTTTGTAACTAACGCCATTATTACCGGTCCCTTCGTCCTGGACATAGTAATGGAAACGATACTGCGGTGCCTGTGATTCGATACAAAAGAATTATAGTACACCAAATAATATTAAACATTGGATTAATTCTATAGTTACCTCTTGTATTGGCGAAAGTGTCTGTCTGCCTGGCGTCCTCGCAGAGACTACGTAGTTTAATAGTAGAGCGAAGAACAGAATCTGAAAAACAAACATGTGAATATGATTAACCAATAAACTTATTGTAATTGTAAAATTTAGTATAAAATATACATAATATTATTATACTTTATAACATCCAAACGTAAAACGGTAACTAATAATGTAGTTTATGAATTTTTTAATTACAAAACTTATTAAAGTACATCGCATGCATATAATTTATAAACATAATAGATACAAACGGCTAAACAGTGAATAAAATAAAAACTGTTAATAAAAAAAACAATTAAATTTATATATCGTATGAAATGAAATATCATTCATCATTTTTTTTTTATATTATGGTAAAAAAAAAACAGTTGTCAAAAGTGAACTGAATAGACTAAAGAAAAAAAACAATTTACCTTTTGTAAGAAAGGGTGTACCATTAAAGATGATTCAGGTATACTGATTATGTCTGAGGTAGAGGGTTACCCTATTATCAACAGCACTACAATATATGTTGTAGAAAATGATATGACGATTATTTTTTAAAGACTTCACACGACTACACTTCCGTTTCAAATTAACCCTACGAAAAAATGTTCATTGTCTTCAATGCCTATCGTATTGTTATTATTATCCTGTTGAAATTATTGCTTGGATATCAGCTTATCCTCGAAAACAGAAAGACTTTTTACTCTACAAAAATGGGGTATTTTATCTTAGAAAATAAATTATCTTTAACAAATCCTACAAATTCATAAATTATTAATATAATAAGAAGTATATTAATTAAAAACATTAAGTATTGTTGCTTTTTTAGTTTGGAAACGTAGGTAGGTACTTTACAAAAAAGCATTTTCTTAAAAATATATTATAAAAGTTTGCATCTATCATTTGATTTACCTACGTTCTACTTATTTTTATTATTATGTAATTTATTATATGTGATGTAATGCTTACATAAAAAACCAAACGATAATAATTATTAATGTCTTAATAATAAATTGATAAATTTTAATAATATTTTACTATGATAGAAGTGGTATGGCACATATTTTACAGTTGCCATCTGTTGACTATTTTTTTTTTTATAAAAAACACGGGATAGTTTTTTTTTTTTAATATTACAATGTGTACAATTAATTTTGTACCGCTGTTTAATGTGAACTCTGAGATAGCATTTTTATAAGCATTTTAGTTGCTACGAATTAAATATCATACTACGTATGATGAACATATTTTCATGTAATAATTTATTAATAGAATTTTTTTTTTGTTTCCGATGAATTTTTTAAAAAATAGTGCTTTTTTATCCTATCATCATAAAATAAAAAACTATATTTATTGTGTCGATAAAATGGTACTTCTACGACAAAAATTGAAAAACCTTAGAAGATTTTTTAAAAAATACAACAGCGTAATGTAGAATTTTATGAAAGTTACAAAATGTCGTCTAAATGCTTTTTTAAAATACTACATTACCTTACACTTTTTAAAATGTTAATAATAAATAAAAATGAAAAATAACTCTCACAAATCATTCTTCCTGTACTGTTTTATAATACTGTTAAATTAAAAATGTTATTCGGAAGTATACGGATATCTTGTAAGCGTACCTCCTTCATCCCCCCCAAGGTTTTTCTGGCTTACGAATATGATAAGTTCGAGAAACTAATGTACGTGTATTTGAAAGTCAAACGGTATTTTTTTTTATTGTCTTACGTCGGATTTCATTGAAATTCGTTAAATATTCAATTAAACAAATTTCTGATAATTGTTAAAATTTGAGTTAAGGCTTAGCTTAACAATGTTTGGTGAAAATAAGCGATAAGAGCTTTTTCGACTAAACCTCAGTCGTGTTAAAACGTAAATAAAAAAATCCAACCGTTCTTTTAAATGATACTTTGAGAGAATCTTACTTGCACGGCGTTTTTGGACGTCAACTCCATCTTCGTCGTTCCCATTGTCAAAACCACAGATAGAACCTAACCGAAGAACCCTTCAGGTCTGAACGGAATAATTACACTGATGCGTGCGACTCGTCATCAACCCCCTTTTATAATCTCTTGTCAGCCTTGACTTCTTGTTCTCACATCCACCGCCTCCGACAAGACGACCTGCACCCTCCCACCCCCGTCGTCTCATCCGACCTACTACCGGCTCTACAAATATTTCCATTAGGGATTCTCCGGTGTATGATGTAACCCAGTCGCCGCCGTTTATTTAAATTACTCCGTGATGGTAACCAGCAACGAATATAAATAACGTGCGCACCTACCTACCTACATACACAAAGTGTTGTGTTTAGATTGTATACGTTATAAACTTTGTGGATACACACACACACACTCATCTACCACCGTGTCTACCAGTGATTTACAGCGGTCACTTCGACGACCCGTTATCGATGATCGTGAACATCGATGTCAGTGCCATCGCATCTATGTTTACTTCTATAGAGAAACGCTATTAGATCACTGCTTTTGGAAGTACTCGTGCTTATTTATTATATGTATTACCTAGTTCAAATGCGTGTATAGTGGGGAAGAATACCGATTCGATATTAATCTCTTCGTATGTAGGTAGTACAATAATAATAATAATAATAATAATAATAATAATTGGTGCTTAACAATATTTTTGTATATCTAAAAGAGACGACGACCGCCGCAGTCTCTCCCCGTCAGACGTTTCCATTTTTCTTTGATCGTACTTAATGCATTACTTACACGCAGCCGCCGAGCACTTTTAATTTGTCCTTGTCGACAAGTGCACGTACACAATAGCCTAAAATGGTAGACACACGATTTCGGTTAGTAACTCAGTTGGACGGCCCTTCATTTTGACTTTCGATTTTACCCTTGTAATTTCTCGTGAACGTCGACAAGTGGACGGATTTTCGGCTAGGTCATATTTATGATTTGAAAATCAACTCCACTGTCTATGTACTAACTACACTGTCTGTGTATTTTTAGTTAAGTTTTACAAAACTGCAAATGGTAAAATTCTCATAAAATTCTAGTAACAGTATCAAAACATTGATCAGTTGATCAAAACTTTTAAATTTCAAATTCAAATAATTATTTTAAACATTGTCCATGTGAGTTAATTACATTCCTTAAGTGATAAATTATTGTATAATTGACCGCTAGCTCGCAAAATTAACTCTTCTTAAGTATGTTTACGCTATGCTTCGCATGCGCCAGACAGACAAAATATGGACTATAAATATAGATCTCCTAAAATAAAATTATTTTTTTATACTCTTTTGTTATTAGATAAACATACAATAATAATTATTGTATGTTTATCTAATTATTAGTCTAAGGGAAAGAGTAAAAAATAATATCACAACTCGTTTTTGTTAAAAACAAAGCAAAAACTTAAGGGTAATTAATTACATTTTTGGTTGGTAAACTATTTTTTATTAAAAATGAGGAGGTATAAATTATGTTAGAGAAACGAGGTGATGATTGTTTACCTAGTTGTAAATTCCTTCGACCCTGTCTTGAATGAACGTACACAAAACATAACGTGACGTGGAGGGAAACAATGACCCCAATTAGATAGGGTCGGTAAAAAGGGTGAAATAATAATAAAAATACATTGCTAGAACGCATACTAATTCCATTACTTATAAATATATATATATATTTTTTTTAAACCCTTAAATAACGTATGTCGAATCTACTCATTGGGTTTAAAAAAATGCGTTGGAGAAATACCATCCCTCGGGTGAATAAAATGAAGTTGTTTCACACTCTCGTGTTGTCTTTTTCTTTACGATTGCCGCTTCAACGCCGGTGGTTTTCATGGAAATATACGGAATATATTATATTTATGGTTTCCAATAAACCGTATAGAGAATAATTTTGTTATTACACATATCCACTGGGCACCCTCTGCCTGTAAAACCTTAACAATATAATGATATAAGAGTCGCAGGTTGTAAATCATGTATACACGCGTAAAAGTACGGGAATCCGTTTCAAAAAACACCTATAGGAACCTACAGACGTCTGTAGTCGGTGGTTTCACCCTTTGTGAAGTGGTTACACGCATGTGGTGACGATTCACATAGAACGCACACATATAGGTACATGACGAACATAACCCAAGTCGGCCCTGGCCATCATTGCAACCGGTTTAAGGATAAATAAAATGTGTGTGAGCGCCCGGTCACCCATTGAGGCAATATAATTTAAAAATTCCAAGATCAGGTTTCTCGGATACCTACTAACCACCGCCGCCGTCGTACTAATAATGGAAACAAAAAATAGTTTTTTTTAATGTTTTGTTATGAAAGGTACTGTCGTTCGACCCTTATACCGTAGACGAAGGTTCATCGAACCGCGGGTGACCTCTCGGACCCAAGACCACGTTTACCCTCAGGCCGAGTGCCGACCATCAGTTAATAATAATTGAGACGTTGAAAACGGAATCGTTTATCTTTTCCGGCTCGACTAAGTCAAGTTCTTAGTTTCTGTCTCCTATATTATAGTTTGTTTAAGTCAAGATGCAATATTGGTTTTTGTCGTTATTTTTCATCTCGAACCGTAATGATCATTGTTAAGAATTAATACAATCGGGTATGTTATGGTTATGTCTGTTCATATTTTAACTATTCGGGGATCCAGACATCTAGTGTTATTTATTTGTCCAGAAACCTATACTATCTGTGCTTAGAGTTGGGCATTTTTTAAACTGCTTTATTCGAATGATCTCTTTATTCGATACTATTTAAGATGATTTATTTAAATAATTTTATTATTCGACCAAATCTAAGATGATTTATTCGACATAATTTAAGTTTTTTATTCGAATAAAAAAAATTATTTAAATAATTCATAAAAAGTTATCTAAATAATTTCCAACACTATCTGTGACTATGTTACTAATGGCCATTCTAGGCTATTCAAATGTTTAATAAGACTAACAATTTAGTCGAACCACGATGGGAACAGTTTAAGAACTAAGGTTTTTCAGACACGGAACGAAGTCAATCGATTATAAATTTTGTATTCAGGCTATTGTAAGGGCTAAAAAAGATCTACCAATTTTTTGCACAAGAGGCAAAATTACTGAATAAATGTTTTAACAACTTCCTTATAAATACAAAATAAAAATGTTATATTACAGTCGTATGTATACTTACGACTGTATTAGCTATACATACGGTTATTATATAAAACTGTCATCGTGGTATGTTGAAAATTTGAGTTCATAATTCCTTGTTGAATAATGTGTACATTATAAACTTATTATACTTATAAAAGGGGCTCCGTCACATAACAGGTTTTATCGAACAACAAAAATCTTTTTATTGGGAACTTACAAAAAACTCCTTATAAGAGCTACAAACTGAACCTTTTTTTTGTTGATACTAATAATGATTTGTATTTATTTTATTTTAAGGTGCATTCGTACTGGTTGTCGGTTAAACTGTATTTTATTTTTATGTACTTTCAGGAAACCGACGATTCCTCCATTTCGAGTACGCCTGGCTACATGGACCCCAGTAATTTTATAAAAAAGGTAAACGAACCGCTATTTTGTTAATATCCAACCTCGTTGATCATTTGTTTATTGGCCTAGGTCACAGTGAAAGCCAGTTTCGATTACGAGGGTCGTCAAGACGATGAACTGTCGTTTTGTAAGCACGCAGTAATCACTAACGTGGTGAAACAGGACAGTGGTTGGTGGCGAGGCGATTATGGAGGCAAACGACAACATTGGTTCCCTAGCAATTATGTGGAAGAGTTACACGAAGATCACATGGAAAATTCCGAGAGTGGCGTGAGTGTGTGCTGTGAACTCTGTTCGTGTCACAGCTGTGTAATTGTTTTGGGTTTGTGTTGTAATTTCTAGTCGACAGAGTCCATGTTCTTGGGGAATGCGCAAAAAGGTAGCCTAGACCTGACCGGGGCCTTGGTGGAAATCGGAAAGCTGAACCAGCCCAAACTCGAATGGATGATCAAGATACAAACGTCTAACGCTTGTACGCCGTTCGTCGTGGGTTCGGTGTCGCGCGAACAAGCGGAAGAGTGGAGGAATTTGATAGTGGAAACCGCCCATAACGCCAGCGCCAGAGTAAGGAAAAAAGGTTTTTTTTTTCGCGTTGGCCAAATTTCATTGATCACGAAAATGTCCCATGTATTTTCCTAGGAAACGCAAAATAAAAAAATGGAACGTCAGCTGAAAATAGCCAAGGAAATATCCGATCTGATCATATACTGTCGGTCGGTGGCCTTTTGCATGGAGTCGCAACGCGAACGCGGTTTCTTGCACAACGAGATGTCGTCATTCCCCGAACACAAGGCCGAAAAACTTATGTGCCACCAAGAGAGCATCTATTTCTTCAAATACCACCAAATACAATTTAGCAGAGTGTTTCCAAAAGGCTCCAGGATAGATTCGTCAAATTATTTGCCCATCAATATCTGGAACTCTGGTTGTCAAATGGCAGCACTCAATTACCAGTCGCCTGGTATGTAACATACTTCTAGTCGCCTATAATTGGGTTACACATTGTTTAATAATTAAATTGTTGATTTCAGACAAATCAATGCAGTTAAACCAAGCTAAGTTTCGTCTCAACGGAGGTTGTGGTTATGTGTTGAAGCCAGATTATATGTTGGACGAAAGTGACACTCTGACCAACAACTGGATGGAAGAGACTTTGTCGGTGACTATTTGTGTGATTGCCGGACGACATGTTGGTAGACCAGGTCGAAATGGAATTTCCAGTCCGTTTGTTATTGTAGAAGTACTTGGCGTAGAGCTAGATTCAGGCTTAAAATTAAATACCAAAACGATACGTAAGGAAATTGTACTGTGTACGATTTAATGAAATACTTTTTGAGTTCAAATTTATTTATTTAGCTGACAATGGATTTAATCCCGTGTGGAATGAAACATCAGAATTTGAAATTACAAATCCCGCTGTTGCTTTTATTCGATTTGTTGTCAACGATGAGGACATGTTCGGGGATCCACATTTCATAGGACAAGGCACTTATCCGGTACTTGATCATTTGCTTTAGTGAAATGTATAATTTTTATTATTTTTTAATTGTTTTTCTAGATAATTTCCTTAAGATCTGGTTATCGTAGTGTACCATTAAAAAACGGCTATTCAGAAGACATTCCATTGGCTTCTCTTTTAGTACACATAACTATAAGAAGCAATACAGTATGTAACCAACACAATTTTGTTTTTAATTTGAATAAGTGATATATGCAAGTATTTAATATTGATTTTTGTTTTTTCAAGGAACTATTATCTTCAGAAAGTGTAATTCAATCACCGATTGAGTAGTTTGTGCAATAATGATGTGGAACTCTATTTAAAGGCTGAAAAAATTTAATTTGAGTAATAATTAAGCATGCTATTAGCTTTATTTATCAAACACAATAATACGAAAGTTATCTAATATAATAATATTGTGCAATAATAACAAAACAAATTACCCAAATAGGTTTCTTATATTATAAATTGTTCTACAGGAATCTTGAGAGACCTAAGTGAAATCTACTTAAAATAAGTTGCTCTCAAAGAGTAGTTCACATAATTCAAATATATTTTATAAATGACATTCAAAAAATATAATTTAACTGGGTTCCGTTTAATTTAAAAACTGAGTTTTTTTAATTTGTTTATAGATAACATTTATCATTAACTTATTTCTTTACTATCTAATAATTTGACATTTGTAGTTACAGAAAGTTAAAAAATAATATTTTATTTATTAAACATTGTTTGAAAAATTTTAATCAAAAAGAATAATTACCAAAATCAAACAATTTTAAATTTAGTATAAGTACTGACTACTGCTAAATAGTAGCAGTATTTCGAAGTACAACATTTTTTTAAGCTTATCATCATTAGTATAAAGATATTATAATTATCATTTTTAATATACCAACTATCAAGATGATAAATTTAATTTTTAAGTTTTTTATTTTGAAAGTAATGCTTAATAACATTTTATTATATTTTATTGATGTCAAACAGAAGCAAGCTATTTTTGCAACTTATGAGATTACGCAAATAGTGGTCTTTTAGTTGCAGAAATTCATAGAAATACTTATTGATTTAGTGATTTGTACTAATGGTCTATAAAAAGGTTGAACAATATTTATAATTAAGTTTTTCTAAGATTGATACTAAAATTTGACATTAGGTAATTAATTGTAGACAACACTATGATCAAATTACTGTGTTTGTAACTCTATTATTATAGTTTTGTATACAAATTTGCGTTACGTTAGATTAAAAGTAATTTTTTATTAAGTTATTAATTAAAAATATTGTTTAGAAGTATATATTTATCATAACGTAATAAATATAAATGAATTACTGTTTGTTTGTATTATATAAATGTTATTAATTAGATAATCTATTTTTAAAAGAGTTATAATTTATTTTTGTTTTTATATTGAGAGATTGGTGCTACAAAATTACTAATTATAAACTATATAAATTAAAATATAACTCACAATATATATATCATTGTATTTTTTTTAAAATAACTATTAAACAAGGAATTGTATTTAAATGCTATTTTTCTAACTGAATGTTACTTTTTTTTAAATTAAGCACAATTTAAAAGAGAATATTGACATTTTATTTACAAACTTTATATTATAAAGTATAATTAATAAGTAATGTTTGTAATAATAGTTAGGTATTGTTAAAAATCAGTTCCTGAATAATGCTAAACATGTGGACAAATGCTCACAATAAAAGCCCTCATAATTTACTGCCACAATTAAGAAGACCTTAAAACTGAACTGCAAATACCAAACAACTTATTCAAATTATTAGGTCATTCTAAGGAAAACAACAAAAAAACTCTCTTCTTAAAAGCAACTAATTTATATAATTCCTTTTTAATGTAATATAATATTGGTTTGTAAAAAATCCATATAAGATATTTATTATATACTACAATACTATTTAAAAGACTAATAACCAGGCTGTTAATGCTTAATAAAAAAAAAAGTTAATGTTATTTACATATTTGCAAAAAACCTGATCGTGTAATCCGCCTTTACACTTTAAGTCTTGTTTTATTAATCATATCGTTAACCGAAATCATTGGGAATAACCTCAATGGTTTCAAATTTCATCCTCTTTTTTTTTTTTACTCAATACCTAATACTGATTTTTTTTTTATTTGTAATAGTTAATTATTTTTATATTGTAATTTTTTTCTTTTTAAAAAATGGGTCCTTTGTATTTTAATGTATTCATCTTCGTCAACACCTGACAGAGTTTCATAAGAAATATCTGTTTATTAATTTATGTTTATTTTGCGTTGGTTATTTACTTTAGATAAGATGCATAAAATAGTTTTTTAATATACTATAATTTGGGTATTAGTGCATATTTATCTTAATTGTATAATAGTAGGCACATAATTCGTCAAACATAATATTGTCTCTCTTTCTTTCACTCTCACTTCATACTAAACCCATTTAAAAAGGTCTTTATTTGTACGTATCTAGCTTTTAATTAATGATAAAAGTTTCGTTCATGTGGCCGGTTTTATCGTTTTTATTGAACGTTCTGAAGTGGAGTGCAGACTAAACTGACTTTTTAACAGACAGCAAAGTTTCTACTGTTGTTGTGTCCACACCTATTTGTCAAACTAAATTATATTTTTAATTCATTGTTATTTATAATAATTAAAAATATATTTTAATTTACCAAATTTCCACCTATGGCATACGCATTACTACATTAAATTGCTGTATAAATGAATTTTATGATTTATATAAGTAAATATTTGGCTGTTTTAGAAACGTACATAATTATAAATGTATTATATATTAAATCACATGTTTCTATTTTATATAGTACCTATATTGACAAGACTATTTGCTATATAAAGACTGGTGACTGGTGAACTTTATCCAGATCTGTTTCACGAGAATAATTTAGTTTTAATCATAACAGCCGGTTCAAAGATTCAAGAAATATTTTGTACAAAGGAATAAAACAAAAGATCATTACAAAACCAATATTTTCCCATAACTTATGATAGTGTGTATTTGAGATATTTAGTTAAAAATTAAGCAAACCGTCTAGGCCATTTGATATCAAACGAAAGTCCATGTACGTCAACGAATGTCGTCGAGTGACAACTATTTGCCTAATCAATAAATAAACTTCAATCGTGTTATTGTTTAAACGTTGACAACACTTCAGTTAGGTAGGTATTTTTTTTAAACATCAACAACGTATTCATTGATTAAACAGCAAATTTCATAGTCTTTGTCTATATTTAGGTATGTATTTACGTAGTGTTTACGAAGAATGCTATTTTATTATGTGTATACAAACGAAATCGTATACTTCCTATTCAGATTTAAAACTAGCATACATAAGTCATATCAGATTTAAACTCTTCGTTCTTCTTATCTAGAATGTCAACACTTATAGTCATATTTTTTTTTGTAGGACGAACCGTTTAAAAGTCGTTATTTGACACATTTTATTTAAACGTAAATGTTAATATTAGTAATAATTATGATAAATTCTTGTCTTGTAATAATTTTCGAAATATAACATATTTATTTAAATTACGTTTGACAAATTCAGCAAAATGCGTGTCTTTTTTTCAATCCGTTATTGCAATGCATTTTCAAACACTATATAACATATAATAACTGTCAATAGATAATGAAAATTGCATCATATCTTTTTGCGCCCACTCGACCTTAGTAAACAAGAAGTAACATACAGACTACAAATCTTATAAATTATCCGACAAAGAGCTAGGAATTGAATTATTGAAGGACAGTCTTATAACATTTTGTATTATCTTTTTAAAATAATATAAAAACTACTTTTTAAACTGAATTAACCACCCGCTTTGTTTCAAACATATCGAATTTGTTTAATTTTTTATATCTCATAGTTAATCTCATAGTTAGTTTTCATAGCCTAAAATATTACTAAGATGACTTTCTGAAAATGGCTGGTCGTTGGCAAGTTTGGAATAATAATTACTTGACTAATTATTTATATATTTCAAAGTAAAGTAGGATACATATTTTAGTTTTGTTTATGTGCAATACTCATTAATTATTGTTAATAATTCATCATCCTTTGCTGAATCATCATCATCATTTGACTCCTTGAAACCGCAATATAATGTCCATTACAATTGAATATTTGAATATTTAAATAAATATTTGGTAATACGATTTTACTAATTAAGATTGAACAATGTAACTAAAAACGTGCCAATTTTGTCGATATCTTTTGTTTTTAATCATAAAAAACATGAAAATTATCAACAAAAAAGTTAAATACGGAAAACGCTTTCGTTAATCTTTTATAAATTTACAAAGTCGGAAACCATTAACAGAAACCTATAATATTTGTCAAGAAAAATTGTTTTTATACAAAAAAAATAGTAGATATTCAAATTTTGTAAGAATTTATTTATTGTATAATGTTGATAATAGTATGAAAATAAAAATGGTTGTTATAATTTTTTTTTTTAGTAAGTAGATTAACCTCTTCCAAAATTGTATTATTTTTTTTTTAACTTTATTATTATTATTAGTTTAACTATATATATTATTCATTGATGTAAATTTATTTTGATTGAGATAAAAAAAAATTATTGTATTGCAGGAGAAATAAAAAAAGGTCCCGAGTCTTTATAAATGAAGATACTCAGACATGTTTTATGGCTATGCGGCTGTACCGGTCGATACTCGGCGGATACCGCATGATGCAATTGCAAGGAAAAATAACGTCACTCACGTGGCGGTCGCCGTCGCCGGTATACTATACACTATACTGTATAATATATTTTATAGTTGAGCCATTTATAACTTGGCCAACGACATTCTCTAGTGCATCTTGATGCACATGATAAAATATCATGTGTATTTACAACAGTATTCTACAACGAATATAGATTATTGCACCGACCGCCTACTGACTATTGGTCTTTGCGTTTTATGTATGATACCTATTAGTGTTTTCTATTGTGTTTGATAAGAATTAGAAACAATGGGAATTAGTAAAATATTATATTATATGCTATACAAAAGCTATAAATAAAAAAATTGTCTTATTTAACTTTGGTACTATTGTGGTGGTACTTAAAAAAAAATTGTAACGTGTGATAAAAAACCATGTTATGGTGGTTGTATTAGTTACAATTTTATTAAGTTCAAAGAATGGTTGTCGATTACCAGTAGGCAGTAAGTATGTAACGAGTAGGTACCAATATTATATTATTTTTTACTATATTATATTTGTTTTATTTATTTTATTTTATGTATACCTAATCTTACAAGTCAGTATAAAAATAAAAAGTACAACACAAAATACTTTCAACAAAATTACTGTGTCTCTAGTCTCTACATGAATGGCCTCAACTAAGTTGCGCTAAATGTACGTCCTTTATTTATACCTACTTGACTTGTATGTAGCAATCATTCGGATGTTCGATAAAAATGAAATGTTTTTATTCTGTTTAATGATTATATAATGATATCACTGTAAAACGGATAATTAAACATCACTTCACTGTTAAAAGTGGCTACTTTAGTTATATTATCTTTTATATATGTACATATATATTAAAATCTGTTTCGTCAATATTCAATCGAATTCGAGTATTTAATATTATACTTATTCAGATTACTTTATTAAGTAATATAATAAATTTCGTATTAGCAATTGATTTTTGTTTAATCGCAATAGTGCATTTTTATTTAGACGACAATAAAACTTTATAAATTCAATTCAATAATAAAGTATGCATAAGTACTTAAGTAAGTATTTTATATATTATACAAACATGCATAATATTTAATATAACATTTATTGTCTAACCTATCCCATTTCTACTCTATATATTAAAACCGTTACATTTTTTATTAACAATCAATGGGAACCTTACGTTCTAATACATTATATTATTATGTTTTATTAAGATTAACGAATTTAGATAATTAAATAATTATCTAATTTACTAATAATTAAACTATTAGATAATTCTTAAACTCTAAATGATACATTGCGTTTTTTTTTTTAATTTTAAATAAAACGTTTTCACAATCTATATACGTTATCCATTAATTATTCAATTTTCAATGTATGTACATTTATATTGAATTATGTGTATACAAATGGACAGTTACTGTGATATTGAACTAATAGGTCATTCTAATAAAAATAGAAATATTGGCCTATTAATGGTGGTTAAAACAAATTTTATTTACATTGTGAATTGGACTGATGTAATAACGGTTACTCGTCGTGGCATTATTATGATAGTTGTACTAGTTGTCATTTTGTACGCTATTCGCAGATTTTTGTAGTGACATTGCTATATGGGTATAAATGATCTTTACTTATAATCTAAATACTCTAGTCGTGCTTTTTTTTATTAAAAGCACTATCTGAGAAATAAAAAATAAAAAAATGCTGTTTGACTTAAATTCAGATAGATTAAACGTAATATTTTTTTTACGATATTATCACTGAATCTTATATAATATGCACTTGTATAATATTATGCCATCCTAATAAAAACTTAACCCATTGGGATGGGAAATGGCATTGGTTTATAGGCCTGTAGGACGATAGCCCTCTCACCCTCCAACCCAGACCCCCCGCTAATACTTGTCTATATAATACAGGGTGATCTATTTAACATAAGACACTTTTTTGGAAAATAATTATAATTGTATAGTTTTTCTTTTAAAAACATTTTTATTTATGTTATTGTACATAATTATAAAATATTCATCTTTATTAGTATTTTCTTATGCTATCAACTATTGAAACTCAAATGGGAATTTATATATTTCAATGACTTTTTACAATAAGAATGCTGCTGACAGGTTGACAAACAGTTTTGAACAAATACTTTTAAAGTTATATAATTTAGTATGAGGATGGAGTGTAGCCGAATATAATGATATACTTCCCTCGCTTCTGTCTTATATTTTTAATTAAGTAATGGCCTAATAACGGTTAATTAGCTAAAGAACCCTAAAATGATTTCGATAACAATAATTACCAAATGATGATAGAAACATTAATTCTACTTCATTAATTCGATAATTAGTTTTAATGTTTCCTATGTAACCAGAGTAGGCGTTCACGAGATTATCAAAATTACTGTACTTATCACACTAAAATTGTCTATTATAATATACTTCTTAAACCCATTCTTTTTTGGTATTACCCTACAGTTTGGGCTGAAAAGACTGGCCAACAGATAATATACTCAAGTCTGAGGTATCATTATAAGCACGTATTGTGTGTTTATCAAGTGCACAACTAACATAAGACACTCATTTTCTTGGAAAATAGTTATAATTTTATAGTTTTTCTTTTTGTAAACATTATTATTTATATTATAGTACAATATTATAAAATTACCAAATATTTAACTTTTTTAGTATTTGCTAGAGCGCTATAAATTCATCACGAGAAGTGGAGTGCGATTGAGTAGTAGCGAGACTCTGCAGAGTGCAGAGTTGCAGAAATGCACTCGATTAAAATAATTTAATACTTCACTCCACCCTCCCTCCTGCCTAAACTTAAAACCTTTACAACATTAGGAGTAGTGTTTCAAAATTGGTTATCGACCAGTAAACATTTTCAGCAAAATATTCTTATTTTAAAAAGTTAATTAAATTCCTATTTGAGTTTCAAATGTTGATAGCGCTCTGGAAAATACTTAAAAAGATTTAGAAAATACTTGGGAATTTTACCATGTTACTATGTTGTAAACTAGGTTTTCCTTTTTGGTTTTTTTTTTTAAATTTTGAATGGTATCATTATTTTAAGAATGATTTGTGTTCTTTTTATATAGTTCACAATACCTCATATAACTTATCCTTTGAGGATTTTAAAACAAAAATAATTAGTTTAGTTTATAAAACCACAACTAATTTTTAAAAAAAAAACTAGTATAGACGAATATTCTCTCTGATTTCAGTCAGCTCAAGAATCAGTCATACCTCGTTTCCCTCAAATATTCGAATAGCCCTATTGTAGTTTTACTCCTAGTTAATTAGCAACTTTAATTGATTACTGTAGTGTGCTATGTGGGACTGGACTTTTTTAGCCTTCCTGCGGAATTTCAATCAATTTGTATAGTATATAAAAGTTTGAATCATTATACTTATATCATTGAAATTGTACGACTATTATTATGCCGAAGGATAATGCCTGTTGCAAATCTAGGCGAATCGCCCGTCAAGATCCGAGCTTTGCGTCGCGGTCCGCCGAGAGTTGCGTAAACATTAAACATTTTTAAATCAATTACATTGTCAGACCGCAGACGTTTACGGTAGGTACCCACGACTTTCAACAAAATCGAACATAATGAAATTATCGTTTTACTATTTTTCAATAATTATTACAAATATTACACGATAGCCTTTCGTCGAGTTAGCGTAATAAAACATAATTACGTACGCGGCACGTGCGGCCGACACAGGACGGCGGCGGCGGCTTGGACTATTGTAAAGAACCGCGAGGTGGTATTTCGCACCACCACTAGGAGCAGCACGCGATGAGTACACACTACATGGTGTGTATTTTGTGGCGTGATGGGGAGTCCAAAGTGCGCAAAACCAACAGAGTTTCTATTTCCAGCGGCCGTCGCCGTCGCCGCCGCCACGTTGGTTTCTTGTAATAATCGCGTGTACCGCGCAGTGAGCAGTCTGTTAGACGTTGGTGATCATTTCACGTTGGGACGCGTGCCGATAGAGACTCGATGCCGGGTTCTTTGCCGCCGCGTTTAAAAATTATTGCTCGATAGTATTTTTTTTTTTAATTTAAAAAGAAAAGACACCGATACCTAGTAAATAATACAAATATTTTGATTTCGTTTCGTCCGGGCCGCTATTTTTATTTCAGCGATCCGTTAGTTTGTATCGACTGGAGCTTTTGAAAAAAAAAAAATACATACATATGTCATATACATATTATATATATATATATATTTTTTTTTTTTACTCTTGCAAATAATTCTAGAATGGTATACGGTCGATAAAGATCGGATAAAGATCCATTTAGTCGAATATCCATTTTGATCGCTACAGTGACATCCGTGCGGACTCAAGCAGGTAAGCGCATTATTTTCCGATAATATATTATTGCCGAAATCTGATTCAATACCTGTTAACATGTTATTTTGCACCAACCGGGTCCTGTCACTAATGTCATCCGCCAACCAACGCTTTGTGCCTATTTACTTTTGCCAATTATGGTTTGCCTCCGTTTGTGCTTAAAATACATTATTAGTTATTATTGTGCGCATCGATACACAGTTCCGTGTCGTACTGTTAGACCTTCCTAATGTGTGTATCGCATTATTCCTCATATCATAAGGTAGAGTAAAACGGTACGTCGACCCATAGCTTGAGCGTACCGTGCATAGTACTACGGTTGTATAGATTTTGCCGGCGCCAAGACCGTCTGTTTGAATGAGAACCCACGTGGCCGTTGCCGCCACTCGTACAAACGTCAATACTACGGGCGAAAGCGACCACGTTGTTATACTTTTACTATACAGGCCAAAGTAGGGAAGAAACTAGTAAAATATTTCACGACCCGTTTATAGTTCAAATAATATAAAAATAACACAAATACATACAATTTATCAATGTTTAGTTTGTTATCTAGTTACATTTTGAATAGAATAGTTTTTCCCGGTTTTGCTGTGAAAATTACTCAGCTAAAATGATAATAATACAATTTTAAATTACTGTTACAGTGGCATGTCCTAGCGGGTGAATTTTCAAAAACGTATACTTACGTAGGTACGTTGTACTTATCAAGAGTGGAATAAATGCTATTAATTATATTTTTTGGTCCTGATGTTTGGGAAAAAGTTAAATAAAATTAGTCAGTATTGCAGCAATAAATTTGCATAAAATTATATTTTAAAAACAAACTAGTGAGGTGAGAGAGGGATGCTCAGTCGCCTTTTCCAAAACAACGGCACTGTATCCATCAATACAGATTGTTTCCTTCTACTCGAAAAAAAAAGAAGGAAATTTCGGAAGAATGCATACCTAAGAACAACAATGTATGAGGACAATGATTTTATATTGTAAAATCAATGTTAGGAGCTACTAAATTAAAATTTTTCTTAGTGTTAATGTAGGGAAATTTATAGTAAAGGTATTGTTTTAACAAAAAATGTTCACGAATTCAATTGAGTTTCTCTAAATAATAACTTAAACACACATTTAATTTAATTTTTAGTTTTTAGCCTTAATTAATTTTTAAATGGTGTCGATGTCTCCCAAACACCTTTCAAGTTTATTAGTTACGCCTATGAAAATACGTATACGGTTTAAATATTTGTTATTGATTGTTAATAAGTTATTTGTTACTTAGAATAGTATTATGTTATTATCTATGTGGGTTTATATTTAATACTAAATTACACTAATTAAAATTAACGGAATTTGTTTGTTGACACAAACAAATAATTACATGGTAATAAACATATAAGCTGATAAATTACAAGGACAATCTAAATCTTTTCGTTATCTGAATCTGATCTGAATTCGTTATTTTTCATTCGTTTAATTTTTTTATTTCATTGCATTTCAAAATTTAAATCTCGATAAAAAGTAATATATATTCTTAACATATTGAGTGGTTTCTATTTATCATACACTTGATCATCTATACGACTTTAAGCTTTTAAGCACCATTAACGTCTCACTTTGATGATTCTTAAAATTTTATTGATTACACAGTATTTAAATATTTTGGAAATAATTAGCTTTTGTTTAATTTTGTTTATTATTTATCTAATCTAGTTTTCCTTGTAAACCTACTGGAAACATATCTCTGTCGGCATGTTTGCCACTTTTTACAGAAGTCAATAAAATTGTTGATCGTACTGCTCATTGTTGTACCTATATTGACAGTAGGTGTAGTCACAAATGGCTCGACGTTAAGTGCTCTTAAACGTTTTCATGTCAACTCGCTGCTTTTGTATGTTAAATGTATGCGGTTAAACGTTTAGATAAATATTCAAACGGATATGACGGAGACTCTTCTATTATTTAATATACATAACTCATAAGAAAAGAGTAGGGGAAGACCGGGCACAACCGTGTTATCCGATTTTTATCAGCAATATTGTATCATTGAGGAATAACTAACCACACCAATTTGTAACGTCCTGTGGGTATGTTTATTGAATATGATAGAGCATACAACGTTTTACGACATTTGAATACCACTAATAATTAAATATTACAACAATTATATTATTATGGTCGGAGGATAGGTGGGGTAATACCGTGTGGTTAAGCTCTAGTTAGTTCACAGCTCATAAATAATTCGAGTTTTTACAAAATTATAAGTTATAAACTGGTACACAAAGAAAAATTTATTTTTAAGTTCATTGTATATTAATTATAATTATTATTACAAAATACAATTATTGTACATTAATTATTTGGCGGCTCGGCTTTAAGCATTACACCAATGTAAAACTATCCTTGTTTCCTAAGCATTTGATCGTGTACGGCATGTGGATCAAAATTACTCATAACCAACGGGGGGCGGCTGATGTCATGCGGTGATCGAACGAGTTTTAAATAAGACAATGTGCGAATTTAAAAACAATTTTTTCCTACAGACGAAATATTATGGTCCATTGTATACTATGTCTGTCTGCCAAAAATGAACTGTGTATGAATAAATTACTTAGTAAAAAAAAAAACAAACAATACGCAGTACTCGAAAACGTGTTTTAACGGGACAACGACCCCTCGATTAGTTTACTATTTGGTGGAGGGGAGGGTGATGGCCAAACGGTAGTATAATATTTCCTCCCTTTTTATACCCTTTGCGTCGTCGCCTTTGCAAACCGATATAGTGTGACGCAACATCGATTTCGATGTAGTCACGTGACGATTTCGGATTTACATAGGTCCCGCTCGCCCACACGACGTCGTGGTGTGTGTACGCCATTGTCTTTCCTATAGAAACGCGTTCCTGTGTATGTGGTGGTCGAGACTCGGCATAACTGTAAAAACACGTGTTGTATGTATGTATAAAAAAAAAAAAAATACTCGTCAAAATTCAGACGCCAAACGACTACTATGGTTCGTCCGCCGCGTCATTCACGTACCTACCTGTATAAATTACTAACCCTACTTTTGGATTCATTACAGGACTATTCTTGTTTCACGTGTGTAACGAACAGCGTGTACGTTTATTACGCGGCGTGGAACGTATTGATGTTACACGACGTATGTAAATGCATAGTATGATATCTGGATGCCTAATATGTATCAGGACTAAAGGCTTAACGTGTTTAATTGAGGTATTATACTGTTACGTTACACTAGCGTGGATGTACACAGACGACTATATTATTAACTAAACAAATTCGGTTTTGCAAAATCTTGATGGACGTCATACCCTTTAAAAAAAATCGTAAAAGCGAGTAGGTCCAAGCGGTCATAGAAAAACGATTTTGATACCGTTAAAACGAGAAGAACTTTAACTGGGCTCTCTCGTAGGTTTTTTTAGGAAACTTAAATTGTATCTTAAATACAAGCACTGCTAAAATGTAAAGTATAAATTGTGAATGTTGGGTTAGTAATATCAAAAACAGCCGACGAGAGAACCTATTCTGATTATTTTCAATGTGTAAACAAAAATATCTACGATTATTATTTAGTCAATAATAGAGAATATGTATAGCTATGTTTAGATGAAAACAATTTTTAAAAACGCTGTCAAGGATGCTGTGATAGTTCATCACAGTTTAACCTTTAAATTAAGATTTTGTAAAAAGTTGTCTATACCTCACTCCTCAATAAATTAGATTAATGTTTATGACGTCCTCTTAAAGGCTCTGTGTTCATTTTACGGAATACAATTTTTACGCTTTAGTTACGTAGTTGGACAATAAAAAATTCAAGAATACGAAAATACGAATTTCATCTTAATATGTTTATGATACTATACAGTTTAATGTTTTTTCGAATGTTCATTAGACGTTATCATTTAAAGTGTCCGATTAAGAGGGCGTTACAGTAAAATATGTTGTTTTTGTCTTTCACACGCGCGAGATGTAAAAACATATTAAAATGTCTAATAGTCCCACTATCTAGTTGGATTAAATTTTTTAAAAATTCAAACAAAGGCATAGTGTTAAGAAAAATGTCTAGGATCGTTAAATGTACTTTGAAGTTGTTGTTAAAGACGATTTCAACGACAACTGTGCAAATTACAATAAATCAAACTCTCAAACTCAACCAAAACAGTGACGATGTTAAGGTTCATTCTATAAATGTTCATTGCCCAAAAAATGCACGTATTAGTTAGTAGTTGCATTTCCACTAAACACATTATTGTTTTTATACGTCACATGTATGTATATATATAATTGATTTATTATACTGGTGTTAGACATTAGTATTGTTTACATACCGCGGTCGATGTTACGTAAAGGTCGAGAGTGGCCAGATTAAATGTAGCATACTGTACAGGTAGATAAACCGTATGCGGTAATATAAAAAGTTATTATATTGTTAAAATTGTTTTCGCAATTTGTATTTTTTAATAACGGCGCGATTGTGTAAAGTTTTAAAAAGAAAAACAAACCCGGGCCGAATAATATTATGTTGACTTCAAAAACATCTGTTATCGGATACGAAGAATAGTAATATTTGATAGCCTATTTTTAAGCAGGTCCGCTGCGTTACTGCTAGTATGTTAATAGTAAGCGTACATTTTTTTTACGAATGTGGGTAGCAATGAACACTATTAACGTCACAAAACGATAAAGTTTTACGTTCGCGAATATTTTTTGTCACCTTGACAGAATGAATAAAAATTATAGGCGAACGTTATCATCTACGACGATAAACACTTGAATGGTATTACTTTTATCAATAGTTGAACAATTATTCGACATCATTTTATAAAGGGTTAAATATCAATGGCTATGTTAATATGATTTTCATAGGAAGTATTCGCCGTGTAATAATGGATGTAATTTGTATATTACTGTGCACTACGCCAAATTAGCAGTACTCGTTTAAACGCACATATCGTTTAATACTAATAATAATAATAATAATAG